CAAAACCAGGCAAAAACACAAAAAAACATACAGGCTAAACGCAAAAACCCATCAAAAAAACAGGCAAAACAATACAAATAAAACATCAACATGCAACTAAAAAAAACCCCAAAATACACAAAAACAATAAAAACCCTACGGGCATAACACATAAAAACAACAGGCAAAAAACAACAAACCAAAGGCAAAAACCCAAAAATACAAACATACGCAAAACAATACAAACATAATAAAAACATACGTCAAAATACAGTTAGCATGGAGACACCATATGCACACACGAACTCCCCCAGAGACAACTTCACTTAACAAAATACAGACACACACACACAGACATTTTAATATAAAAACACACGGGGATACCACAGCAGAAAACATCAGCTCACACCTGCACACATCACGACCCACACACACCATACACACACTACGCAGACAAACTGCACATATAAAAGCCATTAGACCACCGCATCAAACACAAACACAAAACAAAAAACGGCAGACAAACACATACTGACCCCACACAGCAAAACCCGCAAAAATGCAACACATACAAACACAAGAAAACACACACAGACATATACTCTACATGCGACACAAAAAACCAAAAAAAGGGCACACACAATACCCCCGAGAAAACACATAGACAGCCACACAGACGACACTGTAAATACCCACGCAGAAAACATACAACACCCACACCAGAGTACTACAGGGCGAGCCGGGGAAGTACAGAAAACCTCGCTTAACGGCCCCTTTTCATAACAAATTTCGATAACGAGCAAAAAAAATTGTAAAGATTGACTTTTTTTAACGAGCCTTTTTTCGCATAACGAGTGGCGGGGGAAAAGGAATCCAAATTGGCGCTGAATCAGTCTGTTTTTTAGCACTCGTTCATAGCATCGAGGGCGCTTTGTCACCATTTCTCAACTTGTGTTTTAAATTTTGATATTTACATGAACCTCCACCACAAGATGCCTCCTAAAAAAATTTAAATCTCAGATCCATTTCTGCCTCCCCACCCCTCCTTATTCCCCCCAACCCAAATTTTTAACTTTAGAAACTTCACTAAGCCTTTTCGACATGTTTTTAGGTGACTGGGGGGACCAAACCTCCTCTCAAAAAGTTTGGTAAAATCACTTCCAAAACTTTCCTCCCAAATATCGGTCTTTGGCCACTATCATATGATTGTAGGTGGATAACAGTGATATCGAAGAGCTTGTGGAAGAGCACAGCCAAGAGCTGACCACCTAAGAGCTTATGGGGTTGCATTGTGTTTTACAGCAAGAAGTTTTGGAGGAATTTTTGTCAGAGGAGGAGGACGAGGTTACAGAAAAGCAACAATCTTCTGGCGAAATAAGAGAAATGCTGAAAGCATGGGAAACTGTTGTATCTTACATTGAGAAGCATCACCCTAAGAAGGAAGTGGCAATGCACGTTGCAAATTTATTTAATGATAATGCTGTGCCTCATTTTCGCTAAATTTTGAAGCGTCGGCAAAAAATAATGTCTCTGGACATCTTTCTAGTTAAAAAAAAAATGTCATAATTATTTCGACTTTTTTTTTTTTTTTATCGAATTCGCATTCCAGGTGGGTTCGTTCCGCGAAGAAAAGATAACGATGATTCACTCTTCTTAACAATATGTAAATAATTTTCTTTCAATAAACGTTATATATAGCATTTTGTTAGTATTTTTTTCTACATGAGACGCATTATCGTATTTTACATTAATTTATATGAGAAAAATGGTTTCGCATAACGAGTGTTTCGCTTAAAGAGTATGATTCTGGAACGAATTATGCTCGTTATGCGAGGTTCCACTGTAGAACATTGATAGACACGACGTTTTCTTTTAAACGTGTTACTGTGCTCATTACCGCATCCTTATAAATTTAAAGTGTCTAATCAAGTGATGAGTGCGCAACATGACTTTCATACTGGACGTAGAAATCTGTGCTCCCGTAGTTCTCCCCCTTGTGTTGTCCACAATAAACACATCTCTGCCGAATGGTGCTCTGGTGTGTTTCTAGATTGGGTATTGGCAACCTTTGGCCAATCAGACACACCCACCCACAGGATACTTCAAAAACCCTTTTGTTTATACCTGTGCTAAATGGATATACGACTGAAGGAGGTTTCCGTGATTTGTATCTGTTTGGCTCTCTCCCTTGGGATATTACCTACAGACTTCCATCCTAGAGGGGGAAAAAAAGGGGTGTCTGTTCAATATTATCCGTTCACTTCTGTTTTCTTCTGTTATCAGTATATGCTATGTACTGCTAGCTGTTGCAGTTTAGCAGATGATGTTCATATCGTATGCTCTCACTGCCTGCATCGTTGGATTCATTCTCACGTTAGCAACTCTTTACTACGATGTATTATTTACTGTTTGTTTACAACAACGGACTTTACTTTCCGTGCTTACTCTCTTTCATTTGGGTAGGTTTGGTGACGAAGGATCTTGGCGTCTGATGGTTATCACCGTGCTGGCTAGTCTAGGGCTGCTGGGCCATATGGTGCTCAAGCATGTCGTACAAGACAGACTTTCGGACAGAGGCAACGGGTTCAGTGCCAAACGGTATCTAGTCGGCGTTGACCGGTTTATGACAAAGATCAGGTAAAACAAATCCTACTATTTGCTAGTTATATCTATGACGTTTGGCATGTGTTGGTTTTTTTTTTTTTTTCTGTTTCTTTCACTTGTAGGTTCGGGGACCCCATACTGGGGACAAACCGAATAGATCCTCTGCTCCCAACAAACATGTCGTAAAAGCATACTAATTTTAGAGTGTTTCCTTTAAACTCGGAATGCATCTGCATGACAGGCGAAGCACCAAGAGTCTGCATTTAAAAAAGCCAGATCTGTAAAATGGACGTGCAAACAGAAGTTCCCGAGCAAGGCCAAAGTTCAAGTGGACGAGCAACAAGAACTTTCTGCCATAGTTTACAGGCGGTGTATTTAAAGCCTCTTTATCTAATTATACTCGACTTGACATATGTGGCTCAAGGTTTGTAAACAGTTTCATAATCCTGATTTACCGGAATTGAAGTCAACAGCATGCTATTTTGTAACAGACCGCTTTGCGTTGATACTGGCAACGGTATGAACGTTGCGCAGTTCTTAAAGCACTGACAAACTAATATAAAAATGTGTTACAGTGCACAAACACAGAAAAGACCAACCTGATATTTTCCAAGCTGTACGGGCTAGGCTGGCGATTAATGACGAGTCTCTGATGCTAATACGATTACGTGATCTGGGAAGAAAGTCTGTTAAAGCATGCCTATACCCAATTTGAAGTCAAGATAGGAAAAAAGCATCTTATCATGGCAACAATTAGAAGAGACGCCATGAACCGGCTGCTGCATCGAAAGACTGAGCACGAATGAGAATGATCAATGTGCAGTGATGTCAATTTGTGATAACAAAACAGTAAAACCACAAAAACACAGAATACATGCTGAAAATAACATGCTATTGACATTTTATTTTACTTGAAATAGATGTATTGTTAGCATTTCTCAACTGCAGTTTAGGAGAGTTTAAATAATTTTTTTTTTTTTTTTTTTTACTGTACTTATTTAGATGTTGTGTTTCTTTCAACTCCTATAGAACAGAAGCTTTAAGAATTATCTTTCATTGTCTTCTTTGATCTATTTCGCTATAAATCTTTACCTTTGTCACAAATTATATCGTAGCAAAAAGTTGACAACTGTTTTTTTTTTTTTTTTTTTTTTGGGGGGGGGGGGGGATATTTGAGATAATAGAAATCAGGTCAAGGTTGTTTCTACTTTTATAATGAAGTTTTAAATAAGATAAGTCACACAAAGATCAAATATGCCAACCATTCATGTGTGTCGTTACGTATCTTTTCCCAGTTGTATCACGCAAGGAGAACCGGATTCAGTTCCTTTTGTGTTCTATTCAATTGAAGAAAATAATACAGGCATCAGAGAACACGTGTATCTACAGTCGCACGGAAAGATAAAAACCCGAACAAAAAGTAGATCAGTGAGCTTCACAATATAATAAATACAAACGAAAAGTAGATCAGCGAGCTTCACAATATCATAAATACAAACGAAAAGTAGATCAGCGAGCTTCACAATATAATAAATACAAACAAAAGTAGATCAGCGAGCTTCACAATATAATAAATACAAACAAAAGTAGATCAGTGAGCTTCACAATATAATAAATACAAACAAAAGTAGATCAGCGAGCTTCACAATATAATAAATACAAACAAAAAGTAGATCAGCGAGCTTCACAATATAATAAATACAAACGAAAAGTAGATCAGCGAGCTTCACAATATAATAAATACAAACGAAAAGTGAACGTTGCGGCTACAGGGCCTTGTTCAGCACATTAAAAAATTAAACAAAACCACGCGAATATACATCTACCTCTGCATGACAGAGGACTGGAATGGAACAACGCCAAAAAGATCACTGCTGATGGGGAAATCTGGTGATCACTCTGCCAAACTCCAACACTGCAAGGTAGAAGAAGGGCGACTAAGTAAGTAAGTAAGACTAGAGAGGTCTTCCAAAATTGTCTTTTTCAGATTGGCTATCGTACTGCCTGTGATGCTGGTAGTCGGCCTGTTGGTCTACATTATCATCGACATCGCAATCGACAGACCCAGGAATCTGGTCAGCCTTGGAGGAATGGTTTTCTTCGTTGCTGTACTGTTCATCTTCTCCCATAACCCGTCAAAGGTAAGAAATAAGTACAGTTGAAACAAGTCCCCCTGTGGGTAACAGGGCGCATTTGGGGAGACCCACCTCTCACACTCAAGCTTGCAGTCAAAGTCGACCAATTAGATTCGTTTCCTTTGAGGTCGAAATACATCTGCCTGTGAGATGAAGAACCCGCAGTCTTCTTACAAATAATCCACATCTGTAAAACGAATGTGCACACAAAGCTCCAAGTTCTATAGCAAGACTACAACTTAAGTCTAGAGGTGGACGAACAACAAGAACTTTCTGCTGTAGTTTACAACCGGTGGACGCTAAGAAAAATATTCTGAAGCAAACTGGTCAAATAGTTAAAAGTTAGTTACAGGAGGTTGTAAACCAAACCCGGCATTGTTTGGCTCTTTAAAGTTTTACTTGGCAATTTTACATTCAGTAGTAACCATCTTGTCCGTCTCGGAAACTGAAAAAGTTTTGCCACGTCAAGCTCCACGACGCATGGGGAAAACAAAGGTAGTTTTACCACGTCAAGCTCCACGACGCATGGGGAAAACAAAGGTAATTTTGCCACGTCAAGCTCCACGACGCATGGGGAAAACAAATGTAACAGCAGAAAGCATGTTCTCAGAAAAGGGGCAGAGAACGACTAGTACAATGGCGGGCATGGGATATGTGACACCCTGGGTAGGAAAGTCTACGAGATAGGAGAGCTGGCGATAGAATCGGTCTCTTTAATGCAGACGGTGATGAGGGCGACGTTCTGCAAAGGGCCTGTTACATTATGATGATGAGTTTGGCATCACTTTCTGAATGGTCATCCTATGGTCAAAAGTATCGCAAAGCCGATTCAAACCCAGTGTGTAGGAATTGAAAAGGTATGTGCATAATGGTAAGTTAATGGTTACCGTATTTTTTGGTGTATAAGACGACCCCATACATAAGACGCCCCGATGAATAAGACACCCCTTGAATAAGTCATCCACGTGTATAAGATGCCCCCCCCCCCCGCGTAAAGGACGCCCACGTGTATAAGACGCCCTCGTGCATAAGCATAAGACACCCCTGTGTAAAAGACGACTGTGTATAAGACGCATCATGTATAAGACGCCCCCTTGTATAAAACGATGTTGTGTATAAGACGCCTTGTGTATAAGATACACCCGTGTAAAAGACGACAGTGTATAAGACGCCCCCGTGTATAAAACGCTGCTGTGTATTAGACGCCCCCTGTATAAGACCCCCCTACATAAGACGCCCCTGTGTATAAGACGCCCCTGTATAAGACGCCCGTCCCCCCAGCACCCCCTGTGTATAAAACGCCGCGTGTAAATGACGATCGTGTATAAGACACCCCCAATGTGTATAATACGACTCGGTGTATAAGACGCTGCTGTTCATAAGACGCCCCTGTATAATACGCCCCCTGTATAATACGCCCCCTGTATAAGACGCCCACCGTGCATAAAACACCCCTGTGTGTGACATTCCTTCCCCCCCCCCCTTTTTTTTTTCTCCTTTTTGCAGTTTAAAAGACGCCTCCTTCAGGACTTAACAGTAACTACCAACACACCGTATGAACAGCCTTTAGAATAGGATGATGCTCAAATCGCTTTGCTATGTTGCACCTTTACCCAGCTCCAGACACCGTGCTGGACTCCAACAAGAGATATAATTCAACGAATGGCTCTTCCTTACATGAATACAAGTCTTCGAACTGTTATCGTTATCTTAGTATGTGCAACAGTAAGGCAACAGAGATCTCACTGACAACGCAACGAGGAGACTCTAGAGACCTGGGTGTAGCAAACCCTTCTCTGCCCTATCTATCATGTGATACTAGAGTGTCTTGTACATCAGTCGATCTCATCACTGACTGTCATAGTAGTTTGTACTCATCGTGTCACTTTCAGGAATAGACACAAAGCCAACGTTGACTGCTGGGGAAAAAATAAGGAGGGGGAAAGAGATGACAAATGAGGAGGAGGAACGAGAGAAAGCAGAGATGGAAAAGAAAGAAAGAAAGAAAGAAAGAAAACCAATAAAAACAAAGAAAGAAGAAAGAAAGAAAGAAAAACAACAAAGAAAGAAGAAAGAAAGAATAATAAAACAAAGAAAGAAAGAAAAGAAAGAAAGAAAGAAAGAAAGAAAGAAAGAAAAAGAAAGACAGACAGACAGACAGACAGAAAGAAAGACAGACAAAAAGAAAGACAGACAGAAAGAAAGAAAGACAGACAGACAGAAAGAAAGACAGACAGAAAGAAAGAAAGAAAGAAAGAAAGAAAGAAAGAAAGAAAGAAAGAAAGAAAGAAAGAAAGAAAGAAAGAAAGAAAGAAAGAAAGAAAGAAAGAAAGAAAGAAAGAAAGAAAGAAAGAAAGACAGAAAGAAAGAAGAAGAAAAGAAGAAGAAGAAGAAGAAGAAGAAGAAGAAGAAGAACAACAACAACAACAACAACAACAACAACAACAACAACAACAACAACAATAATAATATCGCCAAAAGAACAAGAGCAGCTGCAAAAGCAATAACAACAGCAACAACAAAACCAACAGCAGCAACAGCATCAGCAATAACAACAAAACAACCGCAGACGCCAACAACACCAATAACAACAACATCAGCAGCAACAACACCAATAATAACAACATCAGCAGCAACAATAACAATATCAACAACATCAGCAGCAACAACAACAAAAACAGCAACATCAGCAGCAGCAACAATAATAACAACAACATCAGCAGCAACAACACCAATAACAACAATATCAGCAGCAACAACACCAATAACAACAACATCAGCAGCAGCGACACAAATAACAACAACATCAGCAGCAACAACAACAATAACAACAACATCAGCAGCAACAACACCAATAACAGCAACATCAGCAGCAACAACACCAATAACAACAACATCAGCAGCAACAACAACAACAATAACAACATCAGCAGCAACAACAACAATAACAACAACATCAGCAGCAATAACAACAATAATAACATCATCAGCAGCAATAACAACAATATCAGCAACATCAGCAGCGATAACACCAATAACAACAACATCAGCAGCAATAACACCAATAACAACAACATCAGCAGCAACAACAACAATAACAACAACATCAGCAGCAACAACAACAATAACAACAACATCAGCAATAACATTAACAACAACATCAGCAGCAACAAAAACAATTACAAAAACCTACAAACACTAACACACACCGACCGTATACTAGCTCCGATTCTGATGGTCAGATCTTGTCATCAGGTCCAGTGGCGTGCCGTGTTCTGGGGTATGGCCTTGCAGTTGATCTTTGCACTTCTCATCTTGAGGACATCCTGGGGCCGGGACGCCTTCCAGTGGTTGGGTGACCGAATCTCTGAATTCTTAGCTTACACTGACGAAGGCTCAAAGTTTGTCTTTGGCGATTTGTACATTAATCATTTCTTTGCTTTTAAGGTATGTACACTTGTTCATTGTCTTAATTATAACTAGCTATTGATGGCAATTTGTTACTTCTCCTTTAAGGTTGTATGTGAAACAGTTAACAGTTAGATTGACTCATTGCCGCCAAGATCTACCCTACCGACATTTGTTTTTAAACTGATGAAATAATTATTAATGATAACTAGTTATTACTCGCCGCTATGGTGTAGACGCCAGACGCCCGGCTACGGATTCAAAGACAGTAAGTTCAACACAGAAGGGAAACAGACATTCTTCAAAAATGACTTTGACTTACAGGTCGACGTAGCCTGAAATGGGTACCAGGGATAGTCCTGGCAAGCAAATGCGGTCGGTGTGATGCAGACCATATCATCCAATGAGTGCTGATTGGCTGATTCAATATAGGTCTAGCACCATATGCCCAATACTGCCAGAGGAGTGGAAACTTTATTTTTATTTTTTTTATTTTATTTTTTTTTATTTATGATTCTTCGCAATTTCTTCACACTGTTGTCTCTACGGAGTTATTTCCTCACTGTGATTCATTTATATATATATATATATATATATATATATATATATATATATATATATATATATATATATATGGTCATACCTTCCCTACGGAGATTACTTTCCTCACTGTGATTAAATATATATTATATATACATAATACCTATAAATATATGGTCATAAATTCTCTACGAAAATTACTTTCCTCACTGTGACCTAATAGTTACTTACTTAGTCGCTCCTCTTCTACCTTGGGGTGTAGAGGTTTGCTAGAGAGATCGCCAGACTTCTCTATCAGCAGTGTTTTTTTTTTTTTTTTTTCTGGCTTTGTTCCATTTGAGTCCTTGTACCTGTTGCACAGTCACCAATTTCGTCTTGTCCCTGTCCGAGAATATCCGGTAATACGTCCAACAGGAGCAGATCAACCCTGAGCTTCATAAACTCAGGTGGGCCCACCCTCCGAAAATGTCTAGGAGCTCGTGGGCCGAAACAATTGTAGACAAGGGATCACTTCTACTGATGGTTGGTAGACTCCAGCTGTACATGCTCCCCAGTGGAGTTTCTTCTTACAGCCTTCTGTTAGTTAGGGACTGTCGGATGTTGTCTTCCCAGCGCACCCTGGGTCGCCCTGAAGGTCTGGTTCCCTGATTCTTAGCCTCCCATGCCTGCCATGGTGGCCGATTGTCTCCCATTCTGCATATATATGGTCATAAATTCTCTACGGAGCAATAAGCTTTTTTACTGTGATTTTTAAAAAAATATATCTATAAATGGTCATTCCTTCTCTACGGAGTTATTTCCTCATTGTGATTTTCTTGTATACATATATAGATAGTGCTAACTGTCCACAGGTGCTGCCCGTAGTGGTTTACTTCAGCACATGTGTCTCTATCCTCTACTACCTGGGCGTCATGCAGGTGATCATCAAATACCTGGGCATGTTTCTGTGCTTCTGCCTGGGCACCTCCCCCACCGAGTCGGTCAATGCAGCAGCCAACATTTTTCTTGGACAGGTAAGTACTGTCTCTGTTTCTGTTAGTCAATGTTGCAGCCAATATTTTCTGTGGACAGGTAAGTACTGTCAATGTTTCTGTTGGTCAATATAGCAGCCAGTGTTTTCTGTGGACAGGTGAATACTGTCAATGTTTCTGTTAGTCAATATAGCAGCCAATATTTTCTGTAGACAGGTAAGTACTGTCAATGTTTCTGTTGGTCAATATAGCAGCCAGTGTTTTCTGTGGACAGGTGAATACTGTCAATGTTTCTGTTAGTCAATATAGCAGCCAATATTTTCTGTAGACAGGTAAGTACTGTCAATGTTTCTGTTGGTCAATATAGCAGCCAGTGTTTTCTGTGGACAGGTGAATACTGTCAATGTTTCTGTTAGTCAATATAGCAGCCAATATTTTCTGTAGACAGGTAAGTACTGTCAATGTTTCTGTTAGTCAATATAGCAGCCAGTGTTTTCTGTGGACAGGTGAATACTGTCAATGTTTCTGTTAGTCAATATAGCAGCCAATATTTTCTGTAGACAGGTAAGTACTGTCAATGTTTCTGTTGGTCAATATAGCAGCCAGTGTTTTCTGTGGACAGGTGAATACTGTCAATGTTTCTGTTAGTCAATATAGAAGCCAATATTTTCTGTAGACAGGTAAGTACTTTCAATGTTTCTGTTGGTCAATATAGCAGCCAAAATTTTCTGTGGACAGGGGAGTACTGTCAATGTTTCTGTTAGTCAATATAGCAGCCAATATTTTCTGTAAACAGGTGAGTACTGTCAATGTTTCTGTTAGTCAATATAGCAGCCAATATTTTCTGTAAACAAGTTAGTACTGTCAATGTTTCTGTTAGTCAATATAGCAGCCAGTATTTTCTGTAAACAGGTACTGTCAATGTTTCTGTTAGTCAGTATAGCAGCCAATATTTTCTGTAAACAGGTGAGTACTGTCAATGTTTCTGTTAGTCAATATAGCAGCCAGTATTTTCTGTAAACAGGTTAGTACTGTCAATGTCTGTGTGGTAATTGATTCAGCAGCCAACGTGTTCCTTAAAAAAGGGAGCAGAACATCATTATTTAACTCTTTCAGTACCAGATGATATGGCAGCCAATGCCCAAGTTGGTGCACGATCTTGAATGCTAACATAAAGCTAAAGCCAGAGAATTTGGCCGCTCGGTTAGCCAGATTTCTGTTTTATTCTCTGATCAAAATTAGGATTTAAAAGAACACATTGTTGGATGGTTGGTTTAGCCTAACTAGGAGGATCATATCACACACTACGCGTTGTTTGGGACTGAAAGAGTTAAGTGCATGTAACAAGACATATTTATTTCTATTGGACTGACTGACTGACTTTCTACCCCACTAGGACATCACACAAGCGATAAACACCCGATGACACAAAGTGCCACCATGTGGATGAGGATCACCGTGGAGAGGTCCCAGAAACCGCGTTCAGACAATTGGTCATATTTATGGCCTGCCTATATTGCGGCCCCTGGCAAAAGCCAGAGTAGGGCTTCAAATAACAAAAAATTACGACCTAAAAAGGACGTAAGAATATCTCTATTGGACAAATACAACCAGTGCTTTTATTAGTTAGTACAGAAGGCAGCCTTACATTGGACAAATGCAACCAGTGCTCTTTTTAGTCAGTACAGAAGGCAGCCTTTCATTGGACAAATGCAACCAGTGCTCTTTTTAGTCAGTACAGAAGGCAGCCTTTCATTGGACAAATACAACCAGTGCTTTTATTAGTCAGTACAGAAAGCAGCCTTTCATTGGACAAATGCAACCAGTGCTTTTATTAGTCAGTACAGAAGGCAGCCTTTCATTGGACAAATGCAATCAGTGCTTTTATTAGTCAGTACAGAAGGCAGCCTTTTATTGGACAAATGCAACCGGCTCTTTTTTTAGTCAGTACAGAAGGCAGCCTTTCATTGGACAAATACAACCAGTGCTTTTATTAGTCAGTACAGAAGGCAGCCTTTCATTGGACAAATACAACCAGTGCTTTTATTAGTCAGTACAGAATGCAGCCTTTCATTGGACAAATGCAACCAGCTCTTTTTTTAGTCAGTGCAGAAGGCAGCTTTTCATTGGACAAATGCAACCAGTGTTTTTTTCAGTCAGTACAGAAAGCAGCCTTTCATTGGACAAGTGACTACAACAACTGTGCTTTCATTTGTCAATGCAGTGGGTTGTGAAAAATGGGGGGAGGCATTTCATGCAATTAAGTACAGACAATACTCTTGTATGAACGAATGAATTGATCGATAACAATCAAGAACTGACATAATAACACTCGAGATTTTCCACGCGTGCTCTTTCTCTAAAGCCAGCGAAGAGTTTCCACACTAAAGGTGCCAGATGCAACATGATTAAAAATCCTTTCCCTTGTGGGTTGAAAACTACCAGATGGTCTGCTTCTCTCCCCCTCCCCCATCTTGAATCCCTCTCAAGGGTTCTCTGTTCTGTTCCAGTACGCTAGTTAGACAGTGCAACAGCGAACATGTTCTGTGGAACACTGAGTATAAACAATGTTCGTGTTATGGTACCTTCTTTACCAAGTGCTACCCAAACATGAAAAACTTCCCTCGGCCACGATTTATATTCTGCGTTATGCTGCCAAAGGGGACATATTCTAGAATTTAAAAGTAGTAGCACAATATTTGTTACATTTGTAGTGGAGGGTCTGATTTCCAAAAATGAGTGTATGGCTTTCAATATCCACAAGTAGAGGAAAATGTTCCTCTGCTTATCTGTACTTGAATTCTAGAGAACCAAAGGGTTGAGAACTACGACGGTGCCGGATATGACACACGTTGAGAAAACCTGAAAGTAATATAACAAGAATACACTTGCACCGAAACCCAGTGAAAGCAAGAAGCATATATATATATATATGTGTGTGTGTGTGTGTGTGTGTGTGTGTGTGTGTGTGTGTTGTAAAGGTACCAGTAACGTACAGGTAAAAGGATCGAGTTCATTACGCAAAAGTTATATATTTGTATGTGTGTGTGTGTGTGTGTGTGTGTGTGTGTGTGTGTGTGTGTGTGTTGTAAAGGTACAATTTCGCCTTATTGAAAAGTAGACGTTCACGAAGCGGTAGTAGCATAAGAGCTTTATATGTTTTGGAACTCACTGTCCTATGATTATTACATATTAAGTGAATGGTGCGCTTTTGCAGTGATGTGAGCCTCTTTATAACATAATTGGAACAGCCATCGCATATTGTAGAGCAATAGTCTATGATAATGATGATTATGATGATGATGATGATGATTATTATTATTATATTGATGAGGATGTTAATTAAACGTAATTCTACTACATAATAGTTATGACTGTTTATATTATCAGTTTTGGCTATAACAAAAAGTATCCTCACTGTTGCAGACCGAGGCCCCATTGATGATCCGCCCATTTCTGTCGGAGATGACAAAGTCGGAGATGCACGCTGTCATGACGGGCGGGTTCGCCACCATTGCTGGAGCTGTCATGGCAGCATACATAGTGTACGGGGTGAGTTAACCTAACAACGAAGTTTCAGGAAACGTTTCTCCTGTTTTTGCGGGAGAGATGTGACGGGGTCGGCGGGCGAGTTTGTTGATACCTATGAGGTGATCTACATGCGGTGCTGGTCCTTACAAGGACCCAGACTCTACCAAGGACTACACAACCGAGGCTATTTCCAGGGATGACCATGCTCAGGACTCAGTAACAGGATACAGCCAACACTGGATGTGCACCTAGCAGGATATAACATATGGACTTGGAGGGGGCAGGGGTGGGACACATATGGACACACGATAAGAGAGACAATATGTTACGATGGGATATTAGAAGAAACAAGCCCAAAGAGATAGTTATTCCAATAGCGGTCAAAGAGCAGAGCTGAGCTCAAGTAAACGGACCCAGAGGACTTACAACAGGACCAAAATACCCCACCCAGACATGCAGGAAGGGATACCACAACAAACAGATAGGGACATTTAACCATTTATTATGATACAAGCTCCCAATTTAAGCAACTAATTCCCCCCCCCCCCCCCCCTCCCCCCCCTATTCCCCCTCCTCCCAATCAAATTAGATTAGATCTCATAACTGTGCTATACTTCCATAAGGCTATCTCAGTTTTTGTATTTCCCATTTTTAAATTTTCTCCTTCCTCTTTTCCTTCTTCTTCTTCTTCTTCTTCTTCTTCTTCTTCTTCTTCTTCTTCTTCTTCTTCTTCTTCTTCTTCTTCTTCTTCTTCTTCTTCTTTTCTTTTTCTTTCTTCTTCTTCTTCTTCTTCTTCTTCTTCTTCTTTCTTCTTCTTTTCTTCTTCTTTCTTTCTTTCTTTCTTTCTTTCTTTCTTTTGCTTCTGCTTCTTCCTATTCTTCTTTTCTTCTTCTTCTTCTTCATCTCCTAATAGACGAAAGGCCTTGTGGGTGTTGGGGTGTTTTTTTTTTTTTCTTTTTCTTTTTAGCATTCACAGGCTGTAAACTTCGGCGGAAAGTTGTGGTTATTCTTCCGCTATTGAACGTTTGGGCATGTCCCAGTACTTGAGTTTTGCGTTTTACAGATCTGGGTTATTTGTATGCAGACTGATAGTTCATTGCCTCTCAAGCAGATGCACTCTGACTTCGGAGAAACCATCCCTAATTAGTAGCTTTTTGCGACATGCTTATTAGGAGGAAGGTCAATGGATCTGTTCTTTTTTGTTTCATCAAAGCTAAAGTTTTCTACGAGGTGAGGTATCCATGTTCATGCCAGTCCTCGTTAGTGGCCGCCCAGCAGCCCCTTGCAGGTTACAATCCCACAATTCTTTGCTTCATTACAGACTGGGGTATTTGGAATATTGTATCTTCCCTGTGCTGTTTTTCACAATTCCACTGACAGCCCCTGTGGTCTAGTGGTTAGACGCTCGCTGTAGATCGGAAGTTCGTGAGTTCGGGTCGTGAAAGGGGCCGGCATTTTTTTTTTTTTTTTTTTTTAATGACCTCCGAGGTCGACCCAGTCTTGAGTTGGTACCAGGTGCATTCCTGAGAAGTAAAGGCGGCTGGCGTGATGCTGACCACATCACCCAACAAGTGCCGTTTGGTCTATAAAAATATATATCTAGCCCTATTTACCCAATAGGCATGAAAAGTGTGGAATAGGATCCTTTTGTGTGGTGTATATACATTTGATATATAAAGTTCTATAGTTACACTTCCTGGAGGAACAAAAATAATATGGGTGTAGATTAAAGGGATAGACTTGTTTTTCATATTCTTGTCATGTTGTAGCCTCTACTCAGTTCTAACTTTGTGGGTTTGCTGCTCGGAGCCATTGAGGGGCTAATTAATAGAGGGTCTATTTCATAAACTCTGGTGGAGCCGGACTTTTTTTTCAAAAGAATGACCTTGGCTCTCTGGTAGACCCAGCCTATGAGTGGGTACCAGGGGCAGTCATGTGAAGTAAAGGCGACCGGTGTAATGCTGACCACATCACCTATCGTGTTGATTGGTTTATAAAAATGTAGGTCTAGCCCTATATGCCCTATATGCCTAAAGGCTTGGAAAAGGGTCTTTTACTTTTTATTTATATTTCATGAAAGAAGGGACAGATTTCGCTCATCAAAATGGTGGGCATGGTTATTGGAAAGGATCAGGATTGAGAACTAAGATAGCAATGAGACTCTGGGACGATGGAGGATGGTGGAGTCTTTAAGGACATCTTCTATGGGGAATGACAGATGGATAGAAGACGTCGGCCTCTGCTACGGTATAAAGATATGAACAAACTTAAGATGAATGGTACAGGTGTTAAGCTAGATTTGTGAGAACAGGAAGACATGGATATTGTACTGAGGGGAAAATGATACAGAAAATAGGGGTGACAGATACCATTATTGCAGATACGTTAAGAACTGGGCGTTTGAGAAAAAACACATTAAATACATGGTACGGCAAGAATGGTGCTGAAACCCACGTTGTAACTGTAGAAGACATTTCTTAAAACCGGTTGGTCTTGCTTGTCATACTCGCCATCGCCACAGGCTTTGATTTCATATAGCACCAAAAAAAAGCTGTTGTTTGCAAAGACGGAAAGGTGCTAATAAACAGCTGGCAGGCTGCTGTGTGGCCTTCCGGCATGCCGAAATGAGAGCGGCTCTGCAAATGATGATGTTAAAGGGCCAGTCGGTGAACTGTTAGCCTGGTCCTTGTTATAGATCCAGCCCTGTGTGATTGCATTGTGTCTGTTCGTATGAGCCAGGTGCCCGCCAACCATCTGCTGTCTGCCTCTGTGATGTCGGCTCCTGCTGCCCTGGCAGTGTCCAAGCTGTTCTACCCGGAAACAGAGACGAGCAAACACAAAGCCAGGGATGTCTATAACATTGCTAAAGGGTGAGTCAAGATAGGTGCCAGTTTCTTTATGACGATGTATGGTGTTCCCAGCGACGTCGTGGTTTTTAAATTGATGTTATGGTGTTCCCAGCGACGTCGTAGTGTTTATACTGATGTTATGGTGTTCACAGATACGTCGTGTTGTTTATACTGATGTTATGGTGTTCCCATCGACGTCGTGGTGTTTATACTTATGTTATGGTGTTCACAGCGACGTCGTGGTGTTTATCCTGATGTTATGGTGTTCCCAGCGACGTCGTGGTGTTTATACTGATGTTATGGTGTTCCCAGAGACGTCGTGGTGTTTATACCAAAGTTATGGTATTTCCAGAAACGTCGTGTTGTTTATACTGATGTTGTTGTGTGTATACCTATATGTGATGGTGTTCTCTGTTTCACGGACGGTGTTGTTCGGTACATTTTTTAAAGCAATTCCTTATGATCTTGGCTAAAATTACGCAGTTCGTATTTCTTGAGATACTTCTGGCAAGCGGCTAGTCGTTCTTTGGAGACAGAGGCTGTGCCATGTGGATTAATTCCAGTACATTGAAGTCAGTCCTCTCGTGGCTTTAAACTCACCACATTTCCTGTGCGCACGTGTGTGTGTGTGTCTGTGTGTGTGCGTGCGTGCAGGCGTACATGCGTGTGTGTGCGTATGTGTATGTATGTAAGAGAGAGAAAGAGACAACGTGTACTTACTATTTGGTCAGGACACCGATTAAACATGAACGGTCAGCACACCCACAGTTGACTGAGAAAATAGACCCCAATTCAACATGAACGGTCAGCATACTCACAGTTGACTGAGAAAATAGACACCAATTCAACATGAACGGTCAGCATACCCACAGTTGACTGAGAAAATAGACATCAATTCAATGTGAACGGTCAGCATACCACAGTTGACTGAGTAACAGAAACTTTCTCAAACACCAAACTGCACGCGTTTCGTTGACGTTTCACTTTCAGGTTGTGATCTTTAGCAATAACCTCCCAGAGTTATGGAGTTTTCATTGTATGCCGTAAATGCTATCAAAGAATCATCATGCACATGCGATTTGCTTTTCAAACAATCTCCCCTCATGTGTTAATTATTGTATTTTATATTTTGTTACGGGCAAACAAACTGTTCGCCCGTGTGTCACCGGGGCCCTCGCGGGAAGCAAAGAATAGTGACACTGCACCCTACCAGGCATGTCGTAAGAGGCGACTAAGGGTAGGGTTGGGCTTGAGGTTGGATACCTTATCCTGTAAAAACCATAGCCACAAAAACCAACCAACCATGGATAAGTCAAAAAGATAAGCAAATAAAATCCAGCCAACCAAGATGAGGGGAGGCTCTTCAAATAGAAGAAGTATGACACGGTGTGGAGAAAGCCGTATGGAGTCCGGGTCGTTGACTTACCTCCTCTCAGCTAGGAAAACCTCCAGAATTGGCACCTGGAATGTTAGAACGCTCTATGATATAGGGAGAACAACGGAAGTAGCAAAGGCAATGAAACATTATAGAATTAGTATTTTGGGGTTATGTGAAACTAGATGGACTGGGACAGGAAAAAATATTCTTAATTCAGGAGAACTATTTTGTTCTCAGGACACACAGAGGAAAATTCGCCGCACAGTGAAGGAGTGGCCCTGATGCTATCAAAATAAGCAGACAGGACACTAATAAAATGGGAAGCTGTGAGTCCCAGAATAATAAGAGCATCTTTTAGAACAGTAAAACAGAAGGTGAACATGTCGGTAATACAGTGTTATGCACCAACAAATGACAAAGATCCATCTGTTAAGAAAGAATTTTACATGCAGCTTCAAAATATTATAAATAATGAAAGAAAGGGCAACTTAAAAATTTTGATGGGTGATTTGAATACTAAGATAGGATCAGACAACACAGGTTATGAAGAAATTATGGGGAGACATGGTCTAGGAGTAATGAATGAAAATGGAGAATTGTTCACAAATTTTTGTGCAGGTAACCAGTATGTTATTGGTGGAAGTATTTTTTCCCATAAAAGAATACACAAGGCAACATCTGAATCACCAGACCATAAGACAACTAATCAAATTGATCACCTATGTATTAACAAAAAGTTTAGATTATCCCTTTACGATGTTAGGGCTTTCAGAGGTGCCGATGTATTTACTGACCATTTCCTGGTGATAAGTAAAATCGAGTTGAAACTAAAAAGATATATAACATCTTATAATTATAGAAACCAATATAATGTAGGCTTTCTCAGAGATAAAGAAATTAAGGAACAGTTATCAGTTACGGTCTCTAATAAGTACCAGGTGTTGCAGCAGTTAGCTGAAGATGTCAACACAGAAGTCTGCTGGGATCAGATCAAAGGAATCTGGAATGAATCTTGCGTAGAAGTTCTTGGCAAGAAAGAAAGGAAACATAAAGCATGGATAACACCAGAAACCATTAAACTGATTGAAGATAGTAAAAGTAAAAAGGCAGAATTAAACAATAGCAAAACTAGAGCTGCTAAAGCTAGAGCTCAGGAGAAATACACAGAAGCCAACAATGAAGTTAGAAGGCATATAAGGTCAGATAGAGTGAAATATCTAAATGATCTAGCACAAAAAGCGGAGACAGCAGCAGCAAAAGGAAACCTCAGAGAACTTTACAGTAACACAAGAAAATTAGTAGGTAAATATAGTCAGCCAACTGGATCAATCAAAAATAGTTAAGGAAAGGTACTTACTAACACTAAAGATCGAATGGACAGATGGGTTGAATATTTTGAAATGCTTCTAAATAGATCAGGCCCAGAGGTTGCCCCAGATATCCAGCCTTTAGAAACATTGGATTTATAAACTATGAAAAAGCATTTGACAGCATTGATAGGGAATCTCTCTGGAAATAGATGGGGCACCATGGAATCCCACAGAAAATTATCAACTTAGTAAAGGCAACATATAAAGACATGAAATGTCGAGTTCTTCATGAGGGAAAGCTAACAGATGCATTTGAAATAAAAACAGGTGTGCGACAGGGATGTCTTTTGTCGCCTCTCTTATTTTTACTGGCTATAGACTGGACTATGAAAACAGTAACTGCTAACACCAAGAATGGAATTCAGTGGACCCCTACAAAACAGCTTGATGATCTGGACTTCGCTGATGATACTGCCCTTCTGTCCCATTCACGGAATCAGATACAAGATAAATTAAATATACTTAATGCGAGATCACAGCAGCTTGGTCTGAAAATCCATAAAGGAAAGACAAAGATAATGAGAATAAATCAGGCAAATAGTAATATGGTTTCTCTTAATGGCACCCTACTCCAAGACGTGGAGTCGTACACCTATTTAGGCAGTAATGTAGATAAAGATGGAGGAACTGATAGAGATATTACAATAAGAATACAAAAGGCAAGAGGGGCTTTCACTAGGGAATTTGTGGAGGTCAAAAGAAATTAAAAGAAATACTAAACTTAAAATTTTTAATTCTAATGTCAAATCGATTCTATTGTATGAGGCGGAAACATGGAGAACAACCAAGGCAATTACTAATAAATTACAGACATTCATTAACTGGTGCCTGCGCAGAATAGAGGGAATAAAATGGTATGATAGAATAACTAATGTAGAACTTTGGGAGAGAACTAAACAGGCTCCAGTGGATCAAGAGGTGAGGAAAAGACGCTGGCGTTGGATAGGGCACACACTGAGAAAACAGGAGAACAGCATATCTAGAATGTCTTTGCATTGGAACCCACAGGGGCATAGAAATAAAGGAAGGCCAAAAAACACATGGAGAAGAGAGCTGGAGAATGAGGTTAGCAAGATTTGGAGGACATGGGGAGAGCTCCATGTAATGGCGAAGGATAGAACTACTTGGCGTGAGTTGGTTGAGGGCCTATGCTCCAATTGGGGATTAAAAGGCAGAAGAAGAAACAAACTGTTAGTCAAACAAAGATTAAAGAAATTCGCCACTTAAGGAAAATAGCGGCACCTGTACAATTATAAATTAAAATATCATAAGGACATGGACCATCTTAGTCCGCATGCTATAATTCGTGTCGATCTATTCGGGAGTTCGCGAGATATTTGTTAATGTTCGAGGGCACGAATTTTGTAACGCTGTACAGTCACCTTCCCCGAAAAACACAATCAAGGAAAAAAAAGAAGATTGCGGCTAGAAAGATTTCGTCAGCATTCAACACGTATTTCATTGCCAGTATACTTCAACATAGTGTTCCCTTCATGAACCGGCATGTCAACAAAAAGTCTTCAATGGCTTCCCCACAGTTTGTTAGTTTGGGGCGGACCCCTTCGAGACTTGGGATCCGGCTCTGGCCCTGCCTAGTTGCTGTCCACACGGACAGGTTCATGCTGTGATATTCATAAACCGTACACTCGTACATACACATTTCTTTTTACTGCTACCTAGAGCAATTTAGGCTAACATAGTCTATCTTTGATAGAGGGGGGAGGGCTGTGTTTTCTTGAGGCATGGTGTCTGCCTCGAGTGCAAGAGGTTCCGGGTTCAATCCCCGGTAAGGGTTGGTATTGTTTTACGTGGACTTTGACTTCTAGTAATCTCCCCTGGTCTCTGGGTAGTGAGATCATACGCCCGTATGCATTGTTGCGCACGTAAAAAAAACTCTTGGCAGTTGGAAATCGAAAAAAGTAGCTGCCCGGGCAAAATTTTGAGTAAAAAATCTACCCAAAGTATTTCAGGATCCCCGCCGGTGCTACAGAGCCTATACACTGTGTTGAGCTTCTTCGGACTCAGACTTTAGTTAGAAGAAGAACGGAGCACTTATGGGTTACACCCGTGTGCCATGATCTTGATCCGTTGTTCAAAATCCCAGTCTATTATAAATAAGGGATGTTCTCCTTTCTCTGGCCTGTTACTACATTCCCCCCCCCCCCCCCCCAGGCGACGGGTGCTCACTACTTGCACGAGTACGGTTGGCTTGACTGGTAAAGACAATTAGTTGAACGCAGGCATTTTCCATTTTTAAATGGCATCCGACCTGCCAGTCCCTGCTTCACGGTGGCAAGATATTATGCTTATTGCTAGCTTGAAGTTCCTTACTGCCCCATTAGTTTAAATGTATTTCATTGTCTTCCACTGATTTACAATCTTCAGGACTGAGCGAAATCTGATCGAGGCTGCCTCCAATGGCGCGTCCATGTCTATCAAGCTAGTGGCCAACATTGCAGTCAATCTGATTGCCTTCGTGGCCCTGCTACAGTTTGTCAATGCCACTTTGGTCTGGCTGGGCGACCGCGTCGGATACGACGGACTCACGTTTCAGGTACCAGCGTTTATTTATTCTCATTTGTTTTAGAGTAATAGTTGCCTGAATCATAAACAGCGGACAACTGCCTGGATCATAAACAGTGGCTGACTGTCTCGATTATGAACAACGGATGGCTGTCTGGATCATAAACAGTGGTTGGCTGTCTGGATCATAAACAGTGGTTGGCTGTCTGGATCATAAACAGTGGTTGGCTGTCTGGATCATAAACAGTGGCTGACTGTCTGGATCATAAACAGTGGCTGGCTGTCTGGAGCATAAACAGTGACTGTCTGAATCATCAACAGTTAATGAATGTCTGGATCGTAAACAGAGTATGATTCTCTGGATCATAAACAGTGAATTACTTTTAGATCATAAACAGTATACAACTGTCTAGATCAATAAACTGCGAACGAATGCCTAGATCATAAACAGCGAACAAATGCCTGGATCATAAACAGTGGCTGACTGTCTGGATCATAAATAGTGGCTGACTGTCTGGATCATAAACAGTGTCTGACTGCCTGGATTGTGAACAGTTAATGAATGTCTGGATCGTAAACAGAGTATGATTGTCTGGATCATAAACAGTGAATTACTTTTAGATCATAAACAGTGGATAACTGTCTCGATCAATTAACAGAGAATGACTGGATTATAATCTAAACAACGGATAACTTTCTGGCATAAACAGAGGATGACTGTCTGGATCATAAACTGTAGCTGACTGTCTGGATCATAAACAGTGGATGACTGTCTGGATCATAAACTGTAGCTTACTGTCTGGATCATAAACAGTGGATGACTGTCCTAATCATAAACAGTAGATTATGTTTAGATCATAAACAGTGGATAACTGTCTGAATCAATAAACAGAGGATGACTGTGTTGATCATAAACAGTAGTTGGCTGTCTAGGCTTTAGACTTTAGAGTGCCATTTAAAGATATCATGAGAACATATCAGACCAAATGAAACGTAGAATTAGTTACTTCACATAATCACAAACACAAATGACAAAAGAACGTTGCGGTTAGAGAGCTTTCATCTGCACGTTACATGAATCCACAAAGCCAAAAATTTGAACAAAATTACACTGCACATAAAATTACTTACATGAAGGAGCCAACAGTCTGCATAACATAAGCCAGATCTGTGAAACCGTTGTACAAGCAAAACTTAAGTCTTTGGACCAAGAACCAAATTTTCTGCTGGGGTTTACAGTCGATGAAGACTAAGAAGAGGAGAAAGAACTCTTAATTGAAGTATCTCCAAGAGAAATCAACATGATTGCCCATCAGGCTGAATCTCTGACACGCCTGTCAGAGATTAACAATCTGAGAGTTGGGGTGTACTACAATCAACTGTGGAACAAGCTGAATTATAACAATAATAGGGATAAAATGCATTAAACTGAGATATAAATAGGATTTTTTTTTTTTTTTTCAATCAAGAAAGAAATACCATACACACAAAAAGTAATACATATTACTAAGGCAATGTGTGAAGGTTCAGACTGTGTAGTGCAAACAAAGCATGGCTTGAGTGATTGTTTGAAGTTGATACTTGAGTGACACTGGCTTTGTTGTGTGCAATCCGAAGATCCACACTACGGACAACCGATAATGAACATGAGGTATGACGAGGACACGACGTCACTTGCCGACAAAACTTTTAGATAGATGACCGTTGCAAGAAATGTGTTAATGGCAGAGGTTGGAAACTAGGCTTAGTTGTATTTTACTTGACGCCGCAGTTGGCGGGGAGCTTAGGCTCTGTACTCTGGCTTAGAGGTGAAAGGAGTTATTCTTCCTGATGCCGCAGTTTGCGGGGAGCTCAGGCTCATTGCTCCGGATTGGAGGAAAGTAATTAATTATCTAACTGTCGTTGAATACGGTGACTGTAATGTATGCACTTTATTGAACAATTCCTCACAGATATAAATGGTGTCAATCAGGTTTGGAATACAAATAAATTATGAAAACATTATGAAGGCACCAACAACAGATAAGGCAGATGTTACACTGGAGACAAAAGTAATTAAAGCAACAGATCAATTTATTAATTCAGATAGTAATTTTGATAGTTAAGTTATTACAAAGAAAGACATTATGACAAGCACTAGCAAGGTATCAGCAGCTTTTAAAAGCTTAAACAAAATACGGAACATTGAAAAATTAAGTTTTAAAACCAAGTTACATATTTTCAAATATAATGTTATTTAAATTGTAACATATACAAATAACAGTTGGAGAACCATCAAAGACAGGGAACTAAAGTTAAATAAATGCCAAAACAAATGTCTGAGGAAAATGACCATAATGAAATGTGTTGAATTCAAAGGAGTGAACAAATCAGAGAAATGTCTGAGCAACTACTAGTATGAACTGTTATAAGACAGAGAAGATGGCGCTACATTGGACATATCCTGTGAAGAATCCACCAGAGAATTATCAAACAGCCACTTAATTTGAACAAACAAAAACAAAGAGATTAAGGAGGCGAAGACACCCCAAAGAAACCCACAAGACGAAAGTCGAGGAGAGAGACCAAAGCTGCTGGATTGGATTCAATCCCTGATATTGAACTGATAACACAGGATAGACAGGAATAGAGGAATAGACTGCGAGCCCTATGTGACATATAAAGGTACAACAGGTTAATGAACAAATGATAACCATACGTATGCTGCCTTGCTTGGTGGTGAAGGCGCAAAGACAGGTTTAGCCTAATCATTAGTTAGTTGCTTATCCTTTACAGAACGTTGCAGAACCAATCCCAGCAATTTTTGGCTGTTGTGGTTTTTCTATGCAAATTTACCATCAGTAATTTGCCATTCCACCTTCTAATGCTATCCCATTTAAGGCATATCCCAAAAGAGGAGAGGGGCGTAGAGCAAGAATATGGTAGGATAACATTAGAGAAACTCTATAATACCCCGATGTAGCAAGCAACCAGAAAAGCACAAAGCAGGACCTTTCATCTTTCTCGACACCTGAAGCGGTCAAAGAGAACGTAAAGAAAAAGTTTGCCATTGCCTAAACGGTCAGCTCTCGGGACCACTTTCGAAACCAACGCAAGAAAAATCGTCCTCAGCTAGAATCGAACCTGGCACCAGGGGTTTACGAAGCGCGTTCGCAACGCCTAAGCTACAGAGCTTAATCATGACATACTTACACTCCCCTTTCTTTCCTTCATCACACAGCTTATTTGTTCCTACATCTTCTGGCCCCTGGCTTTCCTCATGGGAGCAGACCAGGACGACTGCCGGGTGATCGCACAACTAATTGGAACAAAGACTTTTTTGAATGAGTTTGTGGTAAGTTCTCTCCAAGGTGTCCATCCACCGCATCCACACATCATAAATATATCCATTTCGAATCCATCCAGCTAACCACTAAACATCCATATTTCAAACAGCAGTTGTGTTTTATCAATAAATCATGCTATGTTCATATAATAATAAGCACACCTACACATCTACAAACCTACACACCTACACACCTACACACCTACACACCTACACACCTGCTCACCTGCACACCTGCACACCTGCACACATGCACACATACACACATACACACCTGCACACCTGCACACCTCCACACCTACACACCTACACACACACCTACACACCTACACACCTACACACCTACACACCTGCTCACCTGCACACCTGCACACCTGCACACATACACACATACACACCTGCACACCTGCACACCTCCACACCTACACACCTACACACACACCTACACACCTAAACACCTACACACCTACACACCTGCACCTAATTGGAACAAAGACTTTTTTGAATGAGTTTGTAGTAAGTTCTCTCCAAGGTGTCCATCCACCGCATCCACACATCATAAATATATCCATTTCGAATCCATCCAGCTAACCACTAAACACATGCACACATGCACACCTTTGAATTCTTCGCCTCCATGTGTGCACACATGCACACATGCACACATGCACACCTGCACACATGCACACATGCACACATGCACACCTGCACACCTACACACACACACATACCTACACACCTACACACACACACCTACACACCTACACACACACACCTACACACCTGCACACCTACACACACACACATACCTACACACCTACACACACACACCTACACACCTACACACACACACCTACACACCTGCACACCTACACACCTGCACACCTGCACACCTACACACCTACACACCTACACACACACACATACATACATACATACATACATACGTACGTACGCACGCACGCACGCACGCACGCACGCACGCACGCACGCACGCACGCACGCACGCACGCACGCACGCACGCACCCACCCACCCACCCACCCACCCACCCACCCACCCACCCACCCACCCACCCACACACCCACACACCACACACACACACACACACACACACACACACACACACACACACACACACACACACACACACACACACACACACACACACACACACACACACACACACACACACACACACACACACACACACACACACACACACACACACACACACACACACACACACACACACACACACACATACATACATACATACATACATACATACATACATACATACATACATACATACATACATACATACATACATACATACATACATACATACATACATACATACATACATACATACATACATACATACATACATACATACATACATACATACATACATACATACATACATACATACATACATACATACATACATACATACATACATACATACATACCATACATACATACATACATACATACATACATACATACATACATACATACATACATACATACATACATACATACATACATACATACATACATACATACATACATACATACATACATACATACATACATACATACATACATACATGCATGCATGCATGCATGCATGCATGCATGCGTAACTATCCCAAACTGTTGAACAATAGTCGACATGTATTTGGTTGTAGGACACGTAAAATATTTTTCGTGTATTTTCATCCATGGAAGTGCTGAATTTTGATAACTGATAAAGTTTTTGTGCTATTTCTGTATGACACAAACATGAGAATTCCAAGTTAAATGATTGTCAGTTGTAAGGCCTAATGTTTTATGCTCATTTACATTTTCAATATGTGATTTATCTATGTAAAGCTCAAGTGGTGGCTTGTACAGTACTAATGTTTGTGACTTTTTGTCTTGTTATAAGCATAGATAATGGGAGGGTGGAAATAACATTTCACAAAGATTCTGTTTTTGATTCTGTATTCTTAGGCTTATGTGGATCTGTCGGACTATATCCACAACAGGCAAACTTTAAACGCCTACCTGGCCAATTCGACAGGTAACTCAAGCGCGGATGGCAGTTGGTGGTACATCGGTGACAACATATATCTTAATGGAACAGGTGCTCAACTCAAAGGAGGGGTCATTTCTGTAAGTGTATTCATTTGTGTATGCAGAATGTTATTTGCTTGAAACCTAAGTGTTTGAATTTCTCTACTTCTGGTTGTGCGTCTCGTTAATGTTGTTGTTTTAGTATCCAGAAGCCATGAGTTGTTAACCCTTAGGCTCGGTATTACGGATATCGCAACCTTTCGGCCTTGATTCCATTGTAAATACCGTAAATCTGGGAGAAAATGTGGCTTTTCTGCCTACCCCCGGGATTAAACCTGGACCACAAGGAGTTCGTCACCCGGTCTCCGCGCAATCCGGTTTAGCCAACTACGCTAGAGAGCCGGGCGAGTCTCGTTAATAAAAACTGTAACTGAAACGTCCATATTCTTCTGCGTGTGTTGACTCTTCCTCCACCACCCCCACCCCCCCCCCTTTTTTTTTCCTTTTTTTTTTTTTGGCTTTTTATTCTCCTTTCTCTCTTAGTGTCTATTCCTAGTTCATATTCAGTGAATTCCTTTGCTCGACTGCAGTCAAACATATTTTAATTATCATGTACACATAATTGTTTCATTATCTCTGGTGCCTAGACCCATGAGTATTTTGACTGGGTTCCATAATTCTTCTTCTTCTGTCCTTATCCTCCATTGGAGCACAGGCTCTCAACCAACTCACTGCGTGTCTACCCATATTCTGCTCTCATGAAACTCAGCCTATGTCCTCCTCATCGTTTTAACTTCACTCTCTAATTCCCATCTTCATGTGTTTTCTGGTCTGTAGTTTTGTATATGCCTCTGGGGGTTCTAGTGTTAAGCTCTTATAGTTAAATTATTTTCAGATTTTCTCAGCGTGTGTCCTATCCAACATCAGCGTCTTTTCTTCACCACTTGATTCACTGCATTTGTAATTTATTATTAACTGTTTTGGTCGTTCTCTATGTTTCCCCTACATACAGCAGTTACCCTTCGCCTGAGTACATGGACCTCAGAACCATGTAATATCGCCAGGGACTAAACCAGGGTTGTGCAATTTAACCAGTTCTCTTCAAAATGTATACATGCAAGACTGCAGAACTTGAAGCACCAGCTGTTGGAAGGATATTGACATTTTCTGATGATGTTCTTGCATACAGGCAGGGGAAGGATAAGCAACAGATAGCCCAAGAGGTAGAGGCAACTGTAGACAAAGTGACTGACGTGTGCAGAAATTAGTGCTGTCAACAACTCAGAAAAAGCGGCTGTTTGGTGGTACATTCTGGACAGTTGAAAGCGCTTATGTTCCAAGCCTCACAATTAATAAGAGTAACATCAAAATAGAAAGCAAACTGGGGTCCCTGTGTATTATTTTCGATAGAAGCCTGTCCTTCATGGTTCAAGTGGAGGCAGTTGTGGTGAAATGCCAAAAAGGACTGTGCTCTTAAAATTATGGCAGCAGTGGACATGGAACAAACAATGTTGTTCACACTGTTCCAGCATGTGGTCCTGTCTGAGATAGATTATGGACTTGGAATGCTTACCATATCACAATGTCTGCTGATGAAACTTGAACGCATACAGAATAAAGCCATGTGAGTAATTCTGGGATGTAGAAGAGATACCCCGGTAGTATATATGCGATATATATTTGCACTGCCTACTATTGCAGACAGCCTTAAAATTCTGCAAACAAAGTCATATCTCAGACAAGGAGTTCGTCACCCAGTCGCCGCGCAGTCCGGTTTAGCCAACTACGCTAGCGAGCTGGGCGAGACAGTTGTTACATTACTTTACAATACACACGTTTACTTTTAACAGCTAGTTAGATAAGCATTACATTTAGAGCCAGGACAGAGTGGTTCTATTTGCTGTGCAGACCCATTAAGGCAATTTTACAAGTGACGAATTTCTATTCTGATAAACAGTTTGTTTATCCTTGGCAAATTTCTTTCCTTTGTCTTTGTTAAAAAAAAATGTGCGATTTAGTGGAATCCGTATATCACGAATTTTCGGACATGTCGAACGATTAAACGTGAACTGGCTACATAGCCTAATTTGATTTGCTTAAAGGTATTCTTTTTTCAAATACATGGATATTTTTCAGCTTATCTTTTTTTTTTTTTTTTTTTTCGGAAATCGTACGTTTCATTCGTCTCATTTCTTTTTATTTAAAGTTTCAAATTGCATGGATAAAACATGTATATAATGTATGTGTCTTAGGGACAGTGATCATGTAATGCCGAGTTGCCGGGTTCGATCCTAGCTGAGGGCTATTTGGCAGCAAACCACCTGGCATTGGTTTCGACCGTGTTATAAATAGTCGACCGTTGGGTACAACTGCAAACTATTAAACGTAAAATCACAAACAGCCCTTTGTTGGAATATGACGATGAAACCTCCTATAGTTTAACGGACGAGAAAGCAACCAACTATCAACGCGTTCTGAGGACAGCCTGGCAAGGCACCAACGAATGCCCTGGTCATCCATTACAACTGGACTCATCTCCAGACGTTTCTGTTCCTCCCGACAGTGGACTTGAATACACAGAGAGAGAGAGAGAGAGAGAGAGAGGGGGAGAGAGAGAGAGAGAGAGAGAGAGAGAGAGAGAGAGAGAGAGAGAGAGAGAGAGAGAAGTCGACGAATCTGCGCAACTCTTCCTCACTATAAACCAATTCACTGTGAAAGTCGACCTTTCATTCACGGATTTCTAGCCAGTACAGAGAGATCCGGTACCAGATATATCTTGGATAAGCTTTATACTTCTTTAGTCCGTTTTAACAGTCATGTCCTTGTCATGTCATGTTATACTTATGATTTCATAATTTACAATTTCGCGGGTGCGGCTGCTGCTGTTTTCTTGGAGCGTCGAATTTCTCCTGGTATTTGTCGGACCAAAAATGTGTATACCCCTAAACGCGCTAACAGTATTCTTTGAATCGGTGTCTGTTTTTTTTTTTTTTTCATATTCCTCAAATAAGGCCTAAAAAACTAGATGCATGTTTACATAATAATTATTTTCCTACAAGGGTATGGTTATTACCAGACTGCCGTTTTCATTCATTGTCTTGTTGTGCCATTATTTGTCACAAAGGGCTCACAGTCTTTTCCTCAATTCTGTTCTATTCTGTGTGATCAGTTCTATGTCATTGATGGAATCCAGTCCAGCAGCTTTGGCCTCTCTCATCAACGTTTTTCTTAGGGTTTCATTTGACTGTCCCCGCCTATGGTTATTAAATATTTTTAAATCCGGCATGACTTTTGGAATAGACTAGCTAGAAATGAATGGCCCTATATCCCAATCCTCCTGAGAACAAGTTCAGGCTGTCTAACGGAATTAAACGTCTTCATTTACCCTGTCATGTTCTGATGCTCTTGATCTGTTTACCTTTCAGGCCAGGTCCGTGGTGATTGCCACCTATGCCTTGTGTGGTTTCTCCAACCTGTCTTCCATGGGTATCCAGCTGGGCGCTCTAGGAGCCATGGCGCCACACCGGAAAAGTGACATGTCCAAAATCGTATTCCGAGCCATGTTGGCTGGAAATGTGGCCTGTTTTGTGACAGCATGTATAGCAGGTGGGTTGATTACATGGTTCAGTTGTATGGGGGTTTTGGTGGGGATTGTGACAGCATGTATAGCAGGTGGGTTGATTACATGGTTCAGTTGTATGGGGGTTTTGGTGGGGATTGTGGCAGTGTGTGTCGTTGGTGGGTGAATACTGGCAACAGTTACGTGTGGGAAATTGTGACATTGTTGAATGAGTGACTAAATACATCGGTTACATAGAGAAATGGAAGTGAATATTCCGAATACCAAGATCATTAATATAATCTCAGGAAAAGAACATCAACATATGGGGAACAGGGGGAGAAGAAATGGGAATGAGAAGAAGGAAAAAGGTAAACAAGGGGAAGAAAAAAGGTAAACAAGGTGAAGAAAGAAACATTATGAGACGAAGAAGAAGAGGGAGAGGTGGTGGATGAAAAGGTAATGGCGGAGAATAGAAGATAGAAAACGATGGGATGTAAATGAAAGAAGAGAAAGGAGAAGATTTATATGAGTCTACCAACGCCCCGCCTCCCCCCCCCCCCTAACCCCCTTAAAGTAAAGTAAAGGACGCGTTTTACTACATTCAGACATATTGGGCATATAGGGCTAGACCTATGTTTTATAGAGCAATCGGCACTCGGTGGATGATGTGGTCAACACCGTGATGATCAAATTACTTCCCAGGTTGTTATCCATTTAAGGCTGTGTTGACCTTTGAAGCAAAATCAAATTTTTTTTCCCCAAAGCCTGGCTCTGCGAGGACCTGAACTCAAGAACTTTGGATCCACAGGCGAGCATCTATCCGCTACACTATGACAGCACCCCCTCCCCACAAATATAACATAATATATTGGCAACTGGTACTGTCTGACTGCTACATGCACAGCCATACGACTTAACACATTTCACTGCTACATACACATACGACTTTACACCACACATCTCACTGCTAAATGCACAGACATACGACTTTACACTACACACCTCACGGCTACCTGCACAGACACACGACTTTACACATCCCCCTGCTACCTGCACAGACATACCACTTTACACATCTCACTGCTACATGCACATACATACAACTTTACACTACACATCTAACTGCTACATGCACAGTTATATGACTTTACACTACACATCTCACTGCACAGACATACCACTTTACACATCTCCCTGCTACATGCACATACATACGACTTTACACTACACATCCCCTGCTACCTGCAGAGACATACTTTACACATCTCCCTGCTACATGCAGACATATGACTTTACACATCTCACTGATACATGCACAGACATACGACTTTACACATCTCCCTGCTACATGCACAGACATACAACTTTACACATCTTATTGCTACATGCACAGACATATGACTTTACACATCTCCATACTACATGCACAGACATACGACTTTACACATCTCCCTGCTACATGCACAGACATACGACTTTACACATCTTATTGCTACATGCACAGACATATGACTTTACACATCTCCCTGCTACATGCACATACTTATGACTCTACACATCTCACTGCTACATGCAAAGACATACGACTTTACACATCTGCCTGCTACATGCACAGACATACCACTTTACACATCTATACCATCTTTACACATCTACGACCTCTGACTGCTACATGCACACACATATGGCTTTACACATCTGATGGCAACGAATTTTGCAATTACAGGTCTGTTCTATGAAGAAGCTTAGAAAACCCTCACCCTCGTTAATGGATCTCTCTAAAAAACATCAAGTGGGCCAAGCTAATTCTGAAACACAAGACCTTTCAACAGACATCATAATGTCTCTCTTAGATGACCGTCAGAACAGTTGCAGCTTGTAACAAGTATTCTACATGATAGTATTTAACGTTTGTGTTTTTTTATCCCAGCCGCATCTTCTATGTTTGCCCAGTTCAGTTCAATCCTATCACTTTTATGAAGTGACATCTTGCTTGTATATTTCTATATTGTGAAAATCAGAAATAGCATTCATGGGATAATAACAGACACGCTGCAGAAGGTTTTGACAATATGAAGTAGTCATATCTGGAAGTCTGCATCTGTGGCTTAGGCATTGCAAACGCGCTTCATAATGCCGGAGTGCCGGGTCCGATCCTAGCTGCGGTCGGGTTATCTTGCTTTGGTTTTAACAGTGGTACCTAGAGCTGACCTTTCAGAGAGCAATGACAAACTACTGAACGTAAAATGTGATTAGAAAAACCACAGAAGCCAAAAAAATGCTAGGGTTGGTTCTGCAACGTCCTGTAAAGGATATGCAGCTAGCTTTATTAAACATATATGGAAGGCCGTGGTGGACATTTTCAACACCTGTTATAATTAATATTTCACTGATACTTTACAGATCCCCCAAAACAGCATTAGACCATAGCAGTGACTATTGTAACTAATTTAATTACTTTTAAAAACACATTTTTGATGACATCATGCACTTGGGTTTATCAAGTTTCTTCTGAAAATAAAGTGTTGAGAGACTTTATGAAAACTCCATACATGGAAGTCATGCCTTTCATTATCAGGATGTATACTTTCATCAGAATTCACCCAAAAAAGTTTTACATTCTGAATGATGGATGACCATCAGTTTTGTGGATTGACGTTCAGAATGCCCTATATGTCATTATGTAACAGGTTCCTTAGAGAATGCTGCTTCGGCTGAAAGAAACCTGGTCCTTCGCTAACTCTCTGGCCTCATGCCCTTGGTTTTTCACAGTTGATGTCCTGTGCCCATCTTCATGATGGTCGGTCCTTGGCATGTCCTCAATGCTGTTCTTTCAAGGCCATTGTGACCAGGCTGCCCTTGACCATATGAAATCCACAAGGACTACAGATTCTGACACCAACTAGTCAGTAAGTGTGGACGATCATGCAGATGAATGAAATCTTCAATAATTTTGATAAAGGTTATCAGATTACTGATGAAGAATATCTAAACATATTTTTGATACAGCTTATCAGATTTCTGATGAAAGCTTTCTCAGATTAAGCGTACGTTGAAATTGCAGACCCAATAAGGTCTTTATATAATGCAACTTCCAGAATTGTAGCCAAACTGGCAGGCTGTGGTCGGTGAAAAGCACAACTTCATTACATTCCAGAGAATCAGAACCATTTGCAGCTGACTCTGCTGTGTGAATAATTGTTTCTGAGATCTATCCTTCTCCATTCACTTTACATTTCAGTTTATATTTTACAATGTAGATTACTGTTATATGTTTGATTTATGATCTTGTATATTGTAATAAATAGAGGCTTCATTTGCCCTATACATTTCAAATGTGTCTAGGATAAACAGGTATGTTGGAAGCAAAGGGAAAATGGGGAAGGATGGGGAGAGGGGTGGGGGAAACGGAAAGAGAAATGTCATTGTTGTATGTATAAAATAAGGCAGGAGATCAGGAAGTGAATGGGGATAATGGGGGAAAAAAATTATTGCAGATAAGCAGAGTCTGACAAAAAGCATGGTAAGTACATTTCACAGTAACAGCAGACCTGAAATTCACATAGACTTCTTCTTCTTTGCCTTCACAAGCTGTAAATTCTGGTGGAAAGTTCTGGTTGTTCATCCACCTTTGAACTGCATTCCTGTTCCATAACATGAGTGTTGCGTGTGCATCCGTTTCAGAGATCTGACTCATTTGTATGCAGACTGTTGGTTCCTTGCCTCTCAGGCAGATGCACTCCGACTTCGACTTTTGCGACATGCTTTTGGGTAGGCAGTGGGTCTATTCTTTTTTCCCTATAATAGGGCCCCGGAACCCACACAGACTAATTGAGGAAGACTGTTCTCAGCGTGGGCGGCCTTGTTGGTCACACAACCCCCTGGGCAGTGATTCCTATATAGCACAGTACAACAATGTCGTCTGAAAAGACGGAAAGGTGCCAAAATGTATAAAATGAGATATCCACTGATAAACTTATCCACCTATAATCATGTGTGTATGTGTATCCTGATCACACATGCAAACAGTAGGCAACCGTTAGTCCCTAGAGATCATGGGGTTGTGCGGCAGGCTTTAAGAACAGTGTGAGCTATGACTCAAGTCCAGTGTGGGGGTGCTAGTCTCTGTCATCTAAAAAAGTTGCTACCTGATTGTGCTGGGCTGATTTCTTTTCTCTCTCTTTCTCTCAGATATCTCCTTTCTACAATTTGCTCGTCTTTGGTCTCTTGTAAATTGCTCCAAAGAAGTCAGTCGGTATCTAATCTCTCCTAGGTGTCCGTGTCAACGCTGACATCTTTCATGTCACATCTAATCTCTCCCAGGTGTCTGTGTCAATGCTGACATCTTTAATGTCACATCTAATCTCTCCCAGGTGTCTGTGTCAACGCTGACATCTTTAATGTCACATCTGATCTCTCCCAGGTGTCTGTGTCAACGCTGACATCTTTAATGTCACATCTAATCTCTCCCAGGTGTCTGTGTCAACACTGACATCTTTAATATCACATCTGATCTCTCCCAGGTGTCTGTGTCAACACTGACATCATTAATGTCACATCTGATCTCTCCTAGGTGTCTGTGTCAACGCTGACATCTTTCATGTCACATCTGATCTCTCCCTGGTGTTTGTGTCAACACTGACATCTTTCATGTCACATCTGATCTCTCCCTGGTGTTTGTGTCAACACTGACATCTTTCATGTCACATTTGATCTCTCCCAGGTGTCTGTGTCAACGCTGACATCTTTCATGTCACATCTGATCTCTCCCAGGTGTCTGTGTCAACGCTGACATCTTTCATATCACATCTGATCTCTCCCAGGTGTCTGTGTCAACACTGACATCTTTAATGTCACATCTGATCTCTCCTAGGTGTCTGCGTCAACGATGACATCTTTCATGTCACATCTGATCTCTCCCAGGTGTCTGTGTCAATGCTGACATCTTTCATGTCACATCTGATCTCTCCTAGGTGTCTGCGTCAACGCTGACATCTTTCATGTCACATCTGATCTCTCCCAGGTGTTTGTGTCTACACTGACATCTTTCATGTCACATCTGATCTCTCTTTGGTGTTTGTGTCTACACTGACATCTTTCATGTCACATCTGATCTCTCCCAGGTGTCTGTGTCAACGCTGACATCTTTCATGTCACATCTGATCTCTCCCAGGTGTTTGTGTCAACACTGACATCTTTAATGTCACATCTGATCTCTCTTTGGTGTTTGTGTCTACACTGACATCTTTAATGTCACATCTGATCTCTCTTTGGTGTCTGTGTCAACATTGACATCTTTAATGTCACATCTGATCTCTCCTAGGTGTCTGTGTCAACATTGACATCTTTCATGTCACATCTGATCTCTCCCAGGTGTCTGTGTCAACGCTGACATCTTTCAGGACACATCTATGTATATCTTTATATTGTAGCCTTGGCCTTCCTGCAGATCTTTACCCTGTTACTTTAATTTTAGTCCTTTCCGTTTGCTTTTTTGTTTGATCACTCTCAATGTGGCACAGCAGCACGTTGTTGTTGTTGTATTTTTGTAAAGGAAAAAAGGGCAATGAAAGGGGGGTGGGGGGTGACATGGTTCCCCATCTCATAAGATCACCTTAAGGATTAGGACTTCATTCTTCACCCAGTCATGCCAAGACATCAAAGTACTGACATCTTTCCAGCTAGATAAGCAGGCATTCACTTGCTGAAGAGACTCACGCTTGTTAATTTATCAGCAAAGAAGGGATGGGTCCAAAGGCAGTGGTTAGTGATTCTATAGAATTCATGGCTGACAAAGATTAGTTTCATTTTCATGCCAGGACATATGAGGGTACCAGAAAATGAGCAGGCTGATAGGCTTGCAGGTAAGGCTACAGTGAAAGCTGGACAAGCCATGGACCAGGCTGATATACTGAATGCTCTAAGAGGGTTAAGACGTTTGCGTGAACCTACTGAGAACTGTGAATCTGCAACCATGGTCAGACTGCATGAACAACATGTTAAACAGGCTGTCGTCAAACAAGAACACTGTGCGGGCAGCCAAACAAAAATAATAAACCAACATAGAACTGATGTCGTTAGCCGCTACATGCTGCAGGATTTACTGAGGAGGGGATCCGAGTACTTATGGACTGAGTGGTTCGACTTGCAATGAGGATAATCTGTCGACTAACTGACTATCAGCAATTTCTGTCAATTATTCATCTCTCAATTTGATCTCTTTTTCACACATACATTAATCACACTACATGAAAATGACTTCTAGGTAAATGGACTGACTTGATCAACAACAATCATTTCATTTTTCTCAATCAAATTAAAAAACATATACTTCAGACATGTGTAGTTGTCACTTCTTATATTTCAACAAACATATAATGATGTCCTTCACTAACTAGACCAACTACTGATCAAATCTGTGCTCATTTTTTTGCAATACTGAACAAAATGGTCAATAACAATGCTAAAAGTTTAACAAGAAAAATACAAAGAAAAGAAAAGAAACTGCATTCACACTATGCTTTAGCTTTAGTACTGATTGTTCCCTTCTGACTGGTCCAAAGAGTGGACACATTTGGCCATGGTGATGGATGCTCTTGAGATAGGATCGGTCAAGTAAAAGTCTCGCAGCTTCACAAATGGCGAGACTAGTGGTGCAGTTTGTTTCTGCACAGTGATTGTCTTCTCCTGAATAGACACAAAATGCATGTTGTTAAAATATTATATAAAGTTTAGAGGCAAATAAAAATATGATTGTGTAGTATTCTGAACATGGAGAACAACTAAAACAATTAGTAATAAGCAACAAACATTCGCTAACCGGTGCCTGAGCAGAACAGAGGCAATTAAATGGTTTGACAGAATCAGTAATCTGGAGGATTGGGAGAGAACTACACAAATTCCAGTGAATCAAGAAGTGAAGAAAAGATGCTGATGTTGGACCTGAGTGCGGTAAATAGGAAAACAATATAACTAAAATGTAATCATACTGGAACCGAAAGTCAGCACAGAAATAAAGGCAGACCAGAAAACACAGAGAAGAGAGTTAGACAGTGAAGTTAAAAAGACTGGGAAGAAACAGGGTGAGCTTCGTGTGACAGCAAAGCACAGAATGACTTAGTGTCAGCTGGTTGAGGGCCTATGCTCCACTGGGCAAATAAAGAAGAAAAAAGATTAAGTTTTATGCACTGGATTAAGATAACTTTCCATCTTACTAACTTATAAAACAAAAAATTATCCACACTACCAAAGCATTAACATACCCTGCATGTCCTGTCAGATATAAAAGCGAAGCCAGTCTTTTCAACAACATCCAGATGTGCAAATGTTGGTGAAACCTCAACAAGCCGCGACCGCACATCTTTCAGTTTGTCATATGGAAGAGGCACATTCAAAATCTGCAAGAAAATTGTTAACTGTTATCTCAGCTTTTTCTGTACCAGGCACAAATGTCCATTTATTATTCCAAAGGCAGTAAATTGTCCTCTGACTTCTACTGTAGATAGTTTTACACTGACTCATTCTACGTGGGTTGGCTACAGAGCAAGGAGACAGAGCATGTGGGAGAATGTCCTGAGTGCAGTGAATGTGATGTCAATTCTTGATTAAAACATTAAAGGTTTGTTTAGCCCCTTCTGTCCTACTCTGTTGTTTTAATACATGTGGACTAAAAGTTGTGCCAGAGGTTGATTTAGCCCTTCTGTCCTACTCTGTTGTTTTAATACATGTGGACTAAAAGTTGTGCCAGAGGTTGATTTAGCCTTTCTGTCCTACTCTCTTGTTTATGTGGACTAAAACTTGTGCCAGAGGTTGATTTAGCCCTTTCTGTCCTACTCTGTTGTTTATTTGGACTAAAACTTGTGCCGATTAAAAGTAAATATAGAATGACAGTCAGGCTTAGGCACTGTGAAACCTCTTGGTAATGCCGGGGTGCCGAGTTCGATACCAACTACGAACGATTTGCCTTTTGTTAGTTTTGACAGTGGTACAGTCTGTCCAGAAAGCAATGGTAAACTTCTGGATGTAAATTTACCAAGAAAAACCACAACAGCCAAAAATGCTGGGGTTGGTTCTGCAACATCCTGCAAAGGATAAGCAACTTCACTTATAGAATGACAATGAAAGAGTTAATGGTGTTCATAAAAGATTATACATATTTTAGTGTGATAAATATAATCTTCCCTTAAATTTGAGCAATCCTAAACATTTTTCAAGCCACAAGCAGGCTCCTGTGTTAAACAAAAACAAGATGGACACCAAGAAGAAGAGGGTGAAGGAGGGTAGGGGAGGAGGAGGGGCGACAAATACATGAATGTCCCTAAACGTATTTTTGTGCTTAAATTTATTCTTTTTGTAAGAATGATCCTTCTACTTAGTTAAAATTAAAAACATTACTATTATAATCCGTCTCATATGTATTAATTTACAGATAGTAGTCAGATGGTGAGCTGCCATGCTGTAGTGCCTAGATACCCACCTTCGATCTAAAGGTCATGGGTTCGATTCCTAAAGGAGTCAGACATTTTTCAAAAGCATTGGCTCTCAGGTCAACCCAGCCTTGAGGGGGCAACAGGTAAAGTCTTGGGAAGTAAAGGCAGCCGGCATGATGCTGACCACATCATTAAACATATACATTAAAGTTGTCACTCTCACCTCAGATACAACTCTGAATATTAAAGCTGTCAAATTTAGCAACAGTGATAAGTTGTCACTATCACCTCAGATCCAGCCCTCATATTTTAAAGTTGTCACTCTCACCTCAAATACAGTTTGTCACTTTCACCACAAATACAAGTTGTCACTCTCACTTTAAATACAACCCTCAACATTAAATGTGTTATTTCCACCTCAAATACAATGTGTCACTCTCACATCAAATACAATTTGTCACCCTGACCTCAAATACAGGTTGTCACCCTCACCGCAAATACAATTTGTTACTCTCACCTCAAATACAATTTGTCACTCTAACCGCAAATAAGACCCTCAAAATTAAAGTTATTACTCTCACCTCATATAAAACACCAAACATTAAAGTTATCGTTCTCAACTCAGATAAAATGCCCAATATTAAAGTTATCGTTCTCAACTCAGATAAAATGCCCAATATTAAAGTTATCACTCTCACCTCAGATAAAATGCCCAATATTAAAGTTATCACTCTCACCTCAGATAAAATGCCCAAAATTAAAGTTATCACTCTCACCTCTGATAAAGCCCTGATAATTGTCCAGTCCTGTCTTGCCATACCAGGGGGAGCCACAGCCTGGCAAACTTCTTGAACCCTGCCCTCTGTGTTGACGTACGTAGCATGCTTCTCCGTGTAAGCTGCCCCGGGAAGGATGACATCTGCCATGTGTGCTCCATAGTCTCCATGATGGCCTGATATGTAAGCAACAACAACAAAACATGTAGAGATTTCATCTGCATTGACATCCTGTTTGACTGTGGGATGAAATCACTCAGAGGTCAGTATGTCCCACCACCTCCCTCTATTAATGCTGCGTATGATTTGCAGAACCCCAATAATCTTGGCTCTTGTGATTCTGCAATTTATTTATGTTTGGGGCAATGCTAAAACTAAATTGTATACTATTTATTTTCTACATTCTGGTTTGGTATAGGCTTTTATATTAAAGACCTCAGATCGATTAAAAAAACTTGTCAAACTGACTGTGCACTCAGTGGTTGCTATGAAAACCAAAATAAACAATGGTTATATTTGATTGCTTGAGATAGGTCTAAAACTAGAGCTGTACCGAATATTCGCTTCGGGGCCAAATAGTGGACCTAATAACTATTCGGTATTTGGCCAAATAGCTGCTTACGGGCCGAATACGAATAGTGGTTACCTAACTCCTGTTTCTGCATACACAGCGATGGACCGAAATAACTATCTCATTAACACAATAGTTGCTGTTGCCTTAGCCTGTCGTAGCGAGGGAAACTGCGACCCGGTTGCATGGTACAAACTGCATAAAATGTCAACTGCAGTGTGTGTGTGTGTGGTGTCTGTGTCTGTGTGTGTGAGAGAGAGAGGGAGAAAGAGAGAGATCATGCATTTTTTGTTTTTTCAGGGTGTCTTCGCCAAAATTAAATCTGAAGATATTGCTAACGAGAATATGAAGGTGCGTTTAAATTACATCAAACGAACAGCCTAGCGAACGATGGTTTTGAAAGATGCAGACAACTAATCACAGACATCAGAAGGAGACAGTCGTCATTTTTCAGCCATGTTATGAGAAGAGGGAGGTGTGTCAGCACATGAACTGATACATGCTGCAAGAGAAAGCAGATTGTGGAGAGGCATGATCGCACACGCCAGTCGGCACGTCACCTGATGATGATGATACACTATTCGTATTCGTCAGAATAGTTGGTCCCACTATTCGTATTTGGCCGAATAGTGAAAATCACTATTCGGTACAGCCCTATCTAAAACCATCATTTTTTATGTACTGGCTCATTTTTTGTGTGTGTGTATATATTTATACATTCACAACCCCTTTACACAAGTACAAACATTTCTGTAAAATCATTTACCATTTCTTTTTTACCTAATTGTACAAATTTAGCATATATTTTGACACAATTTGTGTGGCTTTTTGACTGCTGCACAAGAACTAAATCTTAGTTTTCCAATCGCTCTGGTGTTTGCGAAAGTAATACAATGTTAAATAAGTGTACTAAGTTGCGTTATAATCAGACAAGCAGTTTTGGAGGTAAATATATCTCAAGCCGAAAAACTGCCAAAATGAGAAATTGGAGGAAAGGGAATTTGGTTCATGTTTATTATACTAACAACAATATTTTAATGCTTTAACATATGTTAAACAGAAAAAAAACTATGTATATAATACATACTCACTGTGCAAATGGGGATGCTAAACACGAAAAATCAACCATTTCGTAACAAATGTCTATAAACAAATAATTTCACAGCTAGGGTTAGCTCAGTAAAATGTTAATATTGCATTAAAATAACATATTTTAGAAGAAAATAAAACAAATACTGAATCTGATAGAAGACATACTAAGATGTGTAAAAACAAACTTTTTCTGAAAATTGTTGACCTGACACAAATTCCCTGTTTGAACACCGTCACATGGCCTTAATAGTTTGATTTTGCTTTCTAAACACTCCATTCAATTACTGAAATCAATACAAACTGGTCAGTTGCAGCTGCAATCAAACTGGGTATAACAGAACTAAGAAATGAGTTCACAATGCCCAAGCTAGACATAGAATGATTCACAGCATAGGCTAAGGGTCCCAGTAAGCTGTAAGGAGAATGATGTTCTATACTGAACTGTCTACATAATGATGATGCAGCGAAAAATCCATGCAAGTATTACTGCTTTACAACTGTGTTTCTTATCTGGTTGTCCATGGCCAGATTTGCAGGGGAAAGGGAGGGGGGTGGAAACTATTTACCCACCCACACACTTCTTCTTCACGTTCACCAGCTGTAGATTCTGGTGGAAAGTTCTGGTTGTCTGTCCACCTCTGGACTTTAGCCTTGCTCGAAAATCTGAGTGTTTCATCCGTTTTACAAACCTAACAAATATGTGTGCTCATTGTTGGTTCCTTGCCTCTCAGGCAGATGCGTATACATACTAAACATACTTAACCATAGAATGCAATCATTTCTGAAACTCTACTGTTTATAAATTATTTTTAAAATTCTTCTGTGTGGCTATTCAAAAGTCTGGGGCCCGCCGCACACTTTCTAAAACAAGCTGGGATCGGCAGATCTGAGCTGACAACCACTGCTTTAAAAGAAACAGGCAAGTTTACTTTAGATGACTGCATTATATATCATTTGGAAGCAACTTTAAAGGTCACAATATAATGACAGCATATTTACCAATATAAACCACCGTACAGTTCTGGTACAAGTCATCCCTCTTGACCGCACCTGCGTCTGCTCCCAGCAGAAACACGAGTTGAGGTTTGAGTGTCTTCACTGGATTAATCCCCGCCTGATAGCCCAGGTCAAGGGCGCCCACTTGTGAAGCACTCTAAATAAAGAAAACACAAATGTTTTGACAATTTATTGTCACAATTAAAGCTGACATAAGATAAAAACAAATTAAACAATCACAGTTATCACTATCATCATGTGTATGCCAAATGGTGCAGACAATTATGGTCCTCTATAATCATCTGTTCACATTTTTCTTGAGTGCAACCATTTATCATCTTTCTCCCTGTCTTCCTTTTCTTAGACTTTATTGGTTAAAACTCTGACAGGAAGTTTTGGCTGTTAGTCCACTACTGGTTTTTAGTCTTGAAACAAAACGTCTTGAAAGCAAAGTGTGCACATCTGTTTTTACAGATCCGGCTTATCCCCCCCCCCCCCCCCCCCCCCCCCACAAAATGGGGCCCTAGGACCCACCTAGGTAAGGTCTATTTAAAAAAAATAAAACCTTGGCTCCCACTTTAGACGTACCAGGTAATGTCCTGGAAAGTAAAGGCAGCCAGATGATGCTGACCACATCACCCACTGAGTGCCAAATGTTCTATAAACATGGGTCTAGCATCATATGCCTGTAAAACGAACATGCATCTGTAAAACGAACATGCATGCAAAACAAGTTCTAGAACAAGACTAAAATCTAGAAGCGGGTGAACAACCAGAACTTTCTGCAAGAGTTTACAGCTGGTGAACACTGTGCTGAAGAAAACATTCCCAATCAACAGTAAGTTTAGTTCCAGCCAGCACAACTTGAGGGCTGACCCTCATAAAACGAGTTCAGGATAAATGTCTGGAAAGAAAGGTGGTCACAATGGGCATTGATCACCCCTAATTCACTTTGCTGCAGCCTAGAATACATTTATAGTCAGCAACATCGATCTGTAAGCCTACCTGATGCAAAAAATTGAAGACCTGCCAGTTCTCATGCGCGCAGTGACATTCGGCATCTTCGGCAATGTTGCGGACAATGTCATAAATAGGGCCACTGTCTAAGCGCTGCATGCCAGCACTGCCCAGGATGATCATCGGCTTGTTTGCCAGCTTCAGCGCCTGTTTGATGGAAACTAAATACATCAATATTTCCTTCCATTTAATGTTCTCATGTATCAGATTCTTCAGTCAACATTACCTACTGCTTTCTCTACATCTGTGGGCATACTTAAGACTACTACTGTATGGATATGTATTGCTGCTGCACTCTAGATTTGATCAGCACATGCCTGCTTCAGGCACTCAGTCAAAATCCTGTCTCGTCGCATGTTGTATCATATATAAAATAGGCAGCTAGCCGTTCTGTGGAGAGCGACTAAGCCATATGGAATAAACCTGGTGCAATAGAGCTGATCCTTTCAATTTTAACTTTAACTTTGTAAGGTAATGTTGCAATTTATCAAATACATTTACAAAACGGTAAGAAATTTGCAAAATTCTTAAATATCAGCTGACGACTATTGTACAATATTTGCTTATAAAAGCATGACTGGAAATCTATTCAGTGTGGAGTTCAAGGCCTTGAGTGCTTTTGTAGCTTTACTGTTTGCTTAAATTAATATAAAATTGTTACTGAAATAATGTCACTTCTGATAATATTTTGTTTCATGTTCGTAATGCTGTCACTTAATAGGCAGATGTCCTACACATATATAACAGCAGGCCAGTCTGGTAGCCATTCCTATTTTAGCTATGATTTAATGCGCATGATACGTTGGTAAACACTTTCTTTTCTGGTCAGTTTTTCCATTGGATCCACTTTTGCAGTTTTGTTGATGGATAAATTTGGAATAACAGCGCACAATGAAACATAAGCTCGATGCTGCCTACCAAGCCTTAGAAGAAATCTATTGCAGTGGATTGGTGTCATCTTCCAAGTCATGAAGATAATGGAGATTCTACACACATACCCAAATTCTGCATGACATTTGTTGACTGAATTGGCTTTCCCAGGTATCAGCCTGTAGCAAGAATGTTGCAGAAAGTCGCTATTATCAAAGCTTATCAGAAAGACTCAATCCCGTCCTGCATCATGCATTTTTATGCCGGGGGTATCTAATGTATTGTGTTCACCACCGCAAAAAAGGTCGTCAGCCTATTTGGGCACACTGGAAAGACTCAATCTTTCACTAACCATGACTTTTATTATAATTCAAATCCATGGTGACGTTCAATATGGCAAAGTATTTCAGTTTACAAGCTAGACTTGAATAAATTATCTTTCAAATATTTCCATTAAATACACAAATGGTTGATAAATAAAAACTCTCCGATTGTTCTATTTATAGGTAGCAGGAAATCCGAAAGCATGTGATGCTGTAAAGAGATTTATTTACCTTTTTGCCAAACAAAGACTATTTAATTAAAATGTAAATATATGTTATTTTGTTTCAAAGTGTACTGAATAAGCCTGCTGTCACAGAACATATAACTAATTTATTTCTAGCAAATGTGAGGAACAAGTTATCAGAAAGAACTTACTTTGGCCATGGGGTGCACTCCTTTATTGATGTCCTCCAGCACAGCAAAGCTATCACCTAAATACTGACAAATAGAATATCAGTGATGGTTAAGTGTTGACTATCCTACAATAGTTTAGCTTTCACCTAAATACTGACAAATAGAATATCAGTGTTGGTTAAGTGTTGACCATTCCACAATAGTTTAGCTATCACCTCAATACTGACAATTAAAATATCAGTGTTGGTTAAGTGTTGACTATCCTACAATAGTTTGGCTTTCACCTAAATACTGACAATATCAGTGTTGGTTAAGTGTTGACTATCCTACAATAGTTTGGCTTTCACCTAAATACTGACAATTAAAATACAAGTGTTGACTATCTTACAACTTGCTGCAGCAGTCACCATACAGTGTACAGGCTAAGATTTGTAAAGTATTTACTGAGATTTTATATCTGATAGACACACATTTCTTAAATCACTGAGATTATTACATTTATTTGCACACGTGTACACACATACATATACATTCATAAATTTGTTTTATATTTTTACATTTATATTACAATATAATTTAATGAACTAAGAAGCATCTCTGGCAGCCTTTTCTTTAAAATTGTTTAAAAACAAAATATTTCCTAACAATTTCAGTTTAGTTTCATAAACATCCATTCTCATGTATGTGAGCTCACACACATATATAAAGTACACACATCTATACATTTATTTTACATATATTATAGTTAAGATGGAATCAGTTCTACCATGTCTTTTCAACAAGACAACAAAGGCTTTTCTCTTTAGCTCTAATACAAACACAGACATACAATGTACAGGGTGGAACGAAGAGGAAGTTATACTTGGTGCCACTTACTCCCAGAATTCCCCAATTAATGTAGGACAATATGATGAATCTGTGACACAGTTAAAAAAGCACCTGGTCAACAGTTCATTGTCCAATACACAAAAAGCTAACATGAATAAAACAATCAATTTTTGCAGAAGGTGATTTCAAAGGTTATAGCTACCACCGTGCAAGACTGGGGTCTGACTGACTGACTGATGACACAATGTGCCCCCATGTGGATGAGGATCACTGTGGAGAGGTCCCAGAAACCTAGTTCAGCCATTAGGCCATATTTATGGCCTGGCTATATTGCTACCCCCCAGCAACAGCTAGGGTGGAGCTACAAATAACCAAAAATGTCATCCTAAAGAGGGTGACAGATTCCAGTGAGACTGGGGTTTGATTTTGTTTGTCTTAGGCAAATGATGAATGTACACATTAGAATGGCATTCTATTTCTTTGTCTGTGTAAGAAGGAACTTTTTCCAAGCCCAGAAGGGTGTTGGATATATAGTTCTAGACCATATTTTTGTAGATCAGTCAGCAGTTTATAGGTGCTGCTATTAATATCACAGAAGCCATCTTTTTCTTTCCAAAATATTTCCTGGCACCTTGTTTCGACTGTCCATGCTAAGGTCAATAGGTTTTTTTAAACCACAGCCCTGAAGTCCTGAAGAGTATGTAAACACAATATTACCAGGTCAGCTGACAAGTGAGCTAACCACTGCTCTGTTCAGCAACAAGACATTCATTAACTTAAATTAATTACCTGGTAATCGTAGGATAAGTCCACTGGTGCACCCACAACAAAGATACACATATCTGTATGTAACCAACTGAACAATAAAAAACAAAAAATAACACAATTCAGATAAGTTTTAGTCAAATACTGTTGAATAAATTAGTAAAACGTACATTCAGCTTGACTTTAATCTCTTTGAAATCTAGTTAGTTGACAGATTATGCACACTGAACCATTTAGTCCACACAAGATCTGATCCCCTCAGTAAATCCCAGAGTGTGTAACAGCTGACATCTCAGTTCTGTGTTGGTTTCTTATTCTTTTTATTCCCCCTTGTTTTTTTTTTGAATCCTGCATTGAGCTGTTGTCTGGCTGTACCCCTTTTAACACGCGGTTCTTGCAGTCTGGTTATGACTGCAGGTCACCTGGTTCTCACAAACATCTCACTCTTGGTAATCTGATGGGAAAGAAGTACTTCTGAGTTTGTCCTGAGTACAGCATGTCGATTCTTCTTCATGATCATTCTCAAGGGATGGCAGAAATGCTGCTCATAACAAATATTCCAAGGCAGCTGGAAATCCAAAAAAGCAGGTCAAATTGACAGATATTAAGGCAAAACTGCCAATGTATTTATAGCATGTGTGGTTCTGATACAGAAATATTTGGAACCTCACTAGTCCTACTATGTTGAAAAACAACATCCACATTGATCTAGGGAAGAGACTAGAGAACTTATGGAGATATCCATGTGGATCTAGGGAGGTGACTAGAGAACTTATGGAGATATCCATGTGGGATCTAGGTCAGAAACTAGAGAACTTATGGCGATAAGAGACTAGAGAAATTATAGAGTCATCCATGTGTGATCTAGGAAACAGACTAGATAATTTATGGGGATATCCATGTATGATCTATAGGGAAGACCAGAGTATGCAGGAAGATTTTCATATCTGATAGATGAGAGGAGACTGGAGCAGACATGAGGAAAGATATCTATGTGCAATGAATTTGACGTCTGACCAGCTCGAGACCACAGCAAAACTTTATGAACTCAGGCATTCAGCAGGTTAGTAAGGTATCCAACAAAACCACCTATACCAGTGTGATGTCAGCATCTGTGGCTTAGGCCTTGCAAACACGCACTGTAATGCCGGTGTGCCAGGTTCGATCTCTGCTGCAGGCGGTTTTTCACCTTGCATTGGTTTTCAACCCTTCAGAAGGGAATGGCAAACTACTGAACATAAAATTGGCCTAGAAAAACTACAAGAGGCAAACAATGCTGGGGTTGGATCTGCTACATCCTGTAAAGAACACTATAATCTACCATGCATACAGGGCTATTTAACTAAGTTTACTCAGGGGCCAACATTTTGAAAATGGGGATCGTCACATGCCAGAATAGTTGTGATGCTACTGCATTTTTAGTGGACACTAAAATATTTGGTATATGGGAAAGTGCAAGGGTTACAGGGCTTGGTGGTCCGTGGGTTTGCTCATAATCCAACCACTGGAACATCCAACCTGAACTCAACATGCATCAGTTGACAGCCTGTTGTTTAAGGATGAGGAATGACAGAAAAAGAGTGAGAAAATGGAAAAAATGACTTACGTCTTCCTTATACGTGCATTGACAAGAGGAGCCTCCAGTCGTGGGTTGGTGGCTATGAGAAGCAAGACGTCGCATTCTTCAATCCCTGGAATGGTGGAATTCAAGATGTAGTTGGATCTGAAGTCAATTCTGTGGAATATGTTACTCATCATTAATCACAAACAACAACAATCTCACCGCACATATCGCAGTATGAGCATGATATGATAAACATCTGAAATATGCATTTTTATGAATTTATGAGATAACGCGGCAAAAATAAATTCAAACACTGATAATAAAATACATCAATATAGGTCCAAAAAATAATTATGTTACTATAATGCATACAATTAAGTAAATGACATCTGAGCTTTTTTCCCTTCTAGAAAACAAAGGTGCCGGTACTGATTAAAAGTGTCTCTTTAAAAAGTACAAGTACTCACTTTAAAGAGTCTATTAAAGTAATGCTGACAAACATGATGTCTAAAAACAGGAGCCAGTACTGTGTACTGCTAGAAAAAAAGCCCTAAGCATATGGTGCTAAACCCATATTTTTATAGATCAATCTGCACACAATAGATCAATATTATGCAGGCTCCCTTTACTTTCCTGGATATTTCCTGATACCCATTTAGGCTGAACTGACTTGGATACCCAGATCAATTATGAAAATTCTCAATGAGGGTTCAAACCCAAAATATGTGGGCTAATAGGCAAGCATCTAGCCATGGAACTACTGAGCTACGTAAGAATAATACATCAGTAAATGCCCTTTCATATATTTACACCACATAATATATCAGCAGTCACCCTTTCATATATTTACACCACATAATATATCAGCAGTCACCCTTTCATATATTTACACCACATAATATATCAGCAGTCACCCTTTCACATATTTAAATTATATATAATAATACATCAGAAAACTTTTCATATATTTACACCATACAATACATCAGCAGTCAACTTTTCATATATTTACACCATATAATACATCAGCAGTGAACCTTTCATATATTTACACCATATAATACATCAGCAGTCAACTTTTCATATATTTACACCATACAATACATCAGCAGTCAACTTTTCATATATTTACACCATATAATACATCAGCAGTGAACCTTTCATATATTTACACCATACAATACATCAGCAGTCAACTTTTCATATATTTACACCATACAATACATCAGCAGTCAACCTTTCATATATTTACACCGTACAATACATCAGCAGTCAACCTTTCATATATTTACACCATACAATACATCAGCAGTCAACCTTTCATATATTTACACCGTACAATACATCAGCAGTCAACCTTTCATATATTTACACCATACAATACATCAGCAGTCAACCTTTCATATATTTACACCATATAATACATCAGCAGTCAACTTTTCATATATTTACACCATACAATACATCAGCAGTCAACCTTTCATATATTTACACCATATAATACATCAGCAGTCAACTTTTCATATATTTACACCATATAATACATCAGCAGTCAACCTTTCATATATTTACACCATACAATACATCAGCAGTCAACTTTTCATATATTTACACCATATAATACATCAGCAGTCAACCTATCATATATTTACACCATATAATACATCAGCAGTCAACTTTTCATATATTTACACCATATAATACATCAGCAGTTAACTTTTCATATATTTACACCATATAATACATCAGCAGTCAACTTTTCATATATTTACACCATACAATACATCAGCAGTCAACTTTTCATATATTTACACCATACAATACACCAGCAGTCAACTTTTCATATATTTACACCATATAATACATCAGCAGTCAACCTTTCATATATTTACACCATACAATACATCAGCAGTCAACCTTTCATATATTTACACCATACAATACATCAGCAGTCAACTTTTCATATATTTACACCATATAATACATCAGCAGTCAACCTTTCATATATTTACACCATACAATATATCAGCAGTCAACTTTTCATATATTTACACCATACAATACATCAGCAGTCAACCTTTCATATATTTACATCATATAATACATCATCATTTACCCTTTCATGTATTTACACCATATTAGAGAGACAGTGGCTCTATTCCTCCCCCCACTTCTCATGAGAGGACCCTAGAACCCACACAGAGAATATACCTCTGACCCAAAAAATACATCAGTATTAATATATTTTTTAATCTATATCAACTAGAACTTTCCACCGGAGTTTACAGCCGGTGAATGTAAAAAGAAAAAAAATTAAAATAAAAACAATGCCCAGTTACTCTGCAGCTGCTCAGCGCAGCACAAGTTACATGCAAGATGAACTCACCCAGATTTGGTTGTGGGAAACATCTCCTCGGTGCACAGAGTCTCACAACCCAGACTGTTCAGCAGGTCTTTCAAACACACCATGGCTTCAGCATCAGCCAGACTCCCAGCAACGCCAGCCATCACTGACCCATCACAGATTTTTACCTGAACATCGTCACCATACCAAGAAAGCCAGATTATAATCTCATTATTTTTGAACAATCAAATATCAAAACTAGTCACTTCCGGTTGTCACAGTCCTGTAAATGCTTCTATACTGCCATGTTTGCAGTGATTTGTTCTCAAAAAGTGTAGTTAAATTCAATTGGCTGTGTGCACGTCTGCGCAATATTTAATAAACCAGGATGCGAATATAGTAATTTAAAATAGCATTTAGGAAGTTTCCTTTATGGCTTTTTGAAAGCCAAGCTGATGTCAAATGTTTCCATAAACCTCAGAGATGGAGGTCACGTGGTCACAGCAAAAGTAAACCGCTACATTGAGTATTGTTTTTTTTTTAAGGCTCTGGGGAATGTAATTCATTAAATGCTTCACTGTGTTTACTGATTACAACTTTATTATAATCTCCGTATATTTTTTTTTTAAAGGGGGTGGGGGGGGGGGGGGGGGTCGTAAAGCAAATGCAGAAACATTTTTTTTTTCAAATTTTAATTAATTAGTGACCTGTGTTAGATGAATTTTTTGTACAGGATTTTTTTTGGGAATTCCCACAGATTTGTCAATCATTTTATTTAGCAATGCGGGGTGAAATGACTAAGTTAACTAGTTCTACTTTTCATTTAGGTTAGCATTTTCAATAATATAATAGGTTTTATAATAATATAAATATCAGTTTTTACATCAATATTATGTACCAAATATTTATCAATGTGATCTGCAAAGATATAAAATGGTAACCAAAAAAATATCACATTTTATAACTATGTATTTACCCGACAAACTTCAGAGAAATGTCAACAAAGATGGTTACTAGCCATCCTATGATGTCACAACCTAGGATATGTGAAGTTGTAGGCTTTTACACCTGAATGGCAGTATCTGCCACAATACCCACAAGTCTACTATAACCGGGCTGAGTGGTCTCAAAGTATGGCATCGGCCTTGAGTGCTGGTCCTGGATTCAAACCCAGACATGGACTTCTTGTAATTTCCCCTGGTCTCTGGTTAGCAAGATCAGACACCCATGTGTGTTGTTGCGCACATAAAAAAATCTCTTGGCAGTTGGAAATCCAAAAAAAGTAGCCAAGCGGCACTGCCTGGGCAAAATTTAGAGTTAAAAATCTACCCAAAATATTTCAGGATCTTTGCCGGTGCAACGGAGTTCATGCACTGCGCTGAGATTCTTAGGTTATGACTTGAGTTAGAAGTAGAACAGAGCGCTTATGGATTATACCTGTGTGCCATGATGTTAATCCGTTGGAAAAAAACCATATCATTCTTTTTGTTTCTCTTAGTTGTTGTCAGTTTTATCAGGCAGTAGCCCAGTGTCAGGAATGAGAACTTCGGCACATTAATTACATCATCTGGAACTGATCAGATGACCTGTTTTTCACTGCTAGGAAGCAGTGGCTTTTACTATTGGACACAAAGATGTAGTGGCAACTACCAGAAATGAACTGCATTGCCACTTGCCGGCAAAAAACCAGATGTGTTTTAATCCTGACTACTCCTGGACTCTTAGGCATCTGTGGCTGAGGTGTTGCGAACACGCTTTGCAATGCCGGATTCAATACCAGCTGTGGGCCTCGTGCTTTGCGTTGGTTTTGTTAGTAGTATTGAGAAGCCGACCGTCTTGAAAGCAATGGCAAACTAGTGGACATAAATTTGCCTAGAAAACTACAACAGCCAAAAAATGCTGAAGTTGCCTCTGCAACTTCCTGTTAAGAATACGCAACAAGGTAACTTTTGGACTCATGTTTCAACAGCTAACTTTCTGCAGCTTTTTAATGTTGTTTTGTTAGTGTCTTTTGTCAATTTGAATGTGGAGTGTTTTATTAAGAATCAACATCACATCACTCGGGACACTCCCATGAGTGCTTCGTCTCCATCTTCGGCAGTCAGCGAAGAGTTGCAATTCCGATGCTACCAGCAACTGTCTGACTGTACAACAGTCTCACGTTTCCCTTGAGTGCTGAGCGTTGGCCAAATCCCCTGGTAACTCCCTGCAGAGCCATTCTCCTCAGACTGTAATGATCTATCTGCCCCTTCGCACTATTTAACCGTTCCTAAAGAGACCTCACAATATCAAACTTGTCATACACCAATTCACCACCAAGAGGTGCAGAGCCAGCCAATCTGTCTGGCTGCTCATTTCCCAACACAGAAACATGACCTGGAGAAAATATCCAAAGGATGCTAACTACCTGGGACCTCTGAACCAGTTGCCACTTGAATGCTTGCCACTGCTGTTTGCACCTTTCTCAACATTCTCTGTCAGTCAGTTACAATCACAACATGTGTGTACAGCTGATTTTCAAGCCAGCAGAAGGCAGCAGAAACTGCCTACACCTCTATTCTCAAACTAGATGTTGTGATATCATATGCCAGGTTTTGCTGCACCAGGTGACGTCCATTCACCTTTGCCATGAGACCTCATGCACTTCCTCTGCCCCTCAACACAGAGCCATCTGTATAGATAATCCCATCACCTGGGCAGGAGTTTGCATCACTCCTATTTTAGCATTAGTATTACATCTATTTTGAGAAACAGAAATATTTCTGCAGTCTCTTCTTACCCTTTCAGCTACCTTAATAAAAGCAGTCTCCCAGTCAACAGGCTCTAACTCATCGTCATTATTTTTCACAAATGGTGTCGTCAGTCTTTGCAACAGCAGCCCATCATAAGCAAACCGTGCTTTGTCTGAGATCCATTCTTCATTAACATCCTGTGGAAACAGTTACACAATGTATGTTTGTAAGTTTCTATTGGTGAACATTTATGCCATTTATTTTTACTATCTGGGTTAAGAGGTCACAGCCAGAGAAAAGCTGAGAAAAAAGGGTTAGGGGGAGGGGAGACCGAGTACAGACCCATATACCCTTAACAAGCATGTTGTAGAAGGAAACTAACTATCAGGAGCTTGCTGGTATTGAATGTGCTGGGATAAAAGGTGCAGATATTGCAGCCTAGCTTGAAAACAACATGCCAACCACCCTTCTAAAGATCACATAAACATGGACAAAAGATAATTGATATATGTTCATTTACAACATGAAGATCACATAAACATGGACTAAAGATAATTAATGTATGTCCATTTACAACATGAAGATCACATAAACATGGACTAAAGATAATTAATGTATGTTCATTTACAACATGAAGATCACATAAACATGGACTAAAGGTGATTAATGTATGTTCATTTACAACATGAAGATCACATAAACATGGACTAAAGGTGATTAATGTATGTTTATTTACAACATGAAGATCACATAAACATGGACTAAAGGTAATTAATGTATGTTCATTTACAACATGAAGATCACATAAACATGGACTAAAGATAATTAATGTATGTTCATTTACAACATAAAGATCACATAAACATGGACTAAAGATAATTAATGTATGTTCATTTACAACATGAAGATCACATAAACATGGACTAAAGGTGATTAATGTATGTTCATTTACAACATCAAGATCACATAAACATGGACTAAATATAATTAATGTATGTTCATTTACAACATGAAACGAAGATACACATAAACAAAGATAACTGATATATGTTCATTTACAACATGAAGATCACATAAACATGGACTAAAGATAATTAATGTATGTTCATTTACAACATGAAGATCACATAAACATGGACTAAAGATAATTAATGTATGTTCATTTACAACATGAAGATCACATAAACATGGACTAAAGATAACTGATATATGTTCATTTACAACATGAAGATCACATAAACATGGACTAAAGATAATTAATGTATGTTCATTTACAACATGAAGATCACATAAACATGGACTAAAGATAATTAATGTATGTTCATTTACAACATGAAGATCACATAAACATGGACTAAAGATAATTAATGTATGTTCATTTACAACATGAAGATCACATAAACATGGACTAAAGATAATTAATGCATGTTCATTTACAACATAAAGGACACACAAATATGGACTAAAGGCTGTTAGTCTTCGCAATGTACAACATGGAGACACAAACACTGAGTAAATGTTATGAATTTTCGTCCACGCACAAAATGTGATTAAAAAGATCAGGATTCCGCAACAAGGGAAACAGAGTATGGAGATCCATTTTGGTCAGAATGTTTCTTTATAAATGCATTTGTTATCCCATTAATTAGATTTTTAACTGCAGATACACAAACTGGTGACGAAAACCAAAAATTAAAACCCCAAAAATGTCTTTGATTTTTTTGTTTTATAAATAAATCAAACAAGACAGCAGATTTGGGTGACCTAAAAACACCATTTACAAGGGACACAATATACAAGTAATGTATGCTCTAAAGCACAGAGCTAGAGTGATGTTTTCTCAAGGAAACAATGTACAGGGTGGAACGAAGAATGAGCCATAACTTGTGTGACCCGCTCCCAGATTTCCCCACTTAATGTAGGACTTGAGAGAAACTCTGTGACACATTCAGTCAGTGCAAATGTGTCATCAGTCACTGTCCATTTACAGCATGAAGATCACATAAACATGGACAAAAGATAATTAATGTATGTTCATTTACAACATGAAGATCACATAAACATGGACAAAAGATAATTAATGTAAGTTCATTTACAACATGAAGATCACATAAACATGGACTAAAGATAATTAATGTATGTTCATTTACAACATGAAGATCACATAAACATGGACTAAAGGTAATTAATGTATGTTCATTTACAACATGAAGATCACCTAAACATGGACAAAAGATAATTAATGTATGTTCATTTACAACATGAAGATCACATAAACATGGACTAAAGGTAATTAATGTATGTTCATTTACAACATGAAGATCACATAAACATGGACAAAAGATAATTGATATATGTTCATTTACAACATGAAGATCACATAAACATGGACTAAAGATAATTAATGTATGTCCATTTACAACATGAAGATCACATAAACATGGACTAAAGATAATTAATGTATGTCCATTTACAACATGAAGATCACATAAACATGGACTAAAGATAATTAATGTATGTCCATTTACAACATGAAGATCACATAAACATGGACTAAAGATAATTAATGTATGTTCATTTACAACATGAAGATCACATAAACATGGACTAAAGATAATTAATGTATGTCCATTTACAACATGAAGATCACATAAACATGGACTAAAGATAATTAATGTATGTCCATTTACAACATGAAGATCACATAAACATGGACTAAAGATAATTAATGTATGTCCATTTACAACATGAAGATCACATAAACATGGACTAAAGATAATTAATGTATGTTCATTTACAACATGAAGATCACATAAACATACAAAAGATGAAGATCACATTACAACATGGACTAAAGATAATTAATGTATGTTCATTTACAACATGAAGATCACAAAATAAACATGGACACAAAGATGTTATGAATTTTCGTCCACGCACAAAATGTATTAAAAAGATCAGGATTCATTTAGGGAAACATATGGAGATCACATAAAAATGCATGGATCTCATTAATTAGATTTTAACTGCAGAAAACTGACGAAAAACCAAAAATAAAACCCAAAAATGTCTTTGATTTTTTGTTTGTATGTGACCTTACAACACCATCATTTACAAGTATGTATGCTCTAAAGCACAGAGCTCAGAGTATATTTTCTCACAATGTACAGGGTGGAAAGATAATTAACTTGTGTGACCCGCTCCCAGATCACTTGATGTAGGACTTGAGAGAAACTCTGTGACACATTCAGTCAGTGCAAAATGTGTCATCAGTCACTGTCCATTTACAGCATGAAGATCACATAAACATGGACTAAAGATAATTAATGTATGTCCATTTACAACATGAAGATCACATAAACATGGACTAAAGGTGATTAATGTAATTTACAACATGAAGATCACATAAACAGGACTAAAGGTGATAATGTATGTTCATTTACAACATGAAGATCACATAAACATGGACTAAAGGTGATTAATGTATGTTCATTTACAACATGAAGATCACATAAACATGGACTACAGGTGATTAATGTATGTTCATTTACAACATGAAGATCACATAAACATGGACTAAAGGTGATTAATGTATGTTCATTTACAACATGAAGATCACATAAACATGGACTAAAGATAATTAATGTATGTCCATTTACAACATGAAGATCACATAAACATGGACTAAAGATAATTAATGTATGTTCATTTACAACATGAAGATCACATAAACATGGACAAAAGATAATTAATGTATGTTCATTTACAACATGAAGATCACATAAATATGGACTAAAGATAATTAATGTATGTTCATTTACAACATGAAGGACACACAAATATGGACTAAAGGCTGTTAGTCTTCGCAATGTACAACATGGAAACACAAACACTGAGTAAATGTTATGAATTTTCGTCCACGCACAAAATGTGATTAAAAAGATCAGGATTCCGCAACAAGGGAAACAGAGTATGGAGATCCATTTTGGTCAGAATGTTTCTTTATAAATGCATTTGTTATCTCATTAATTAGATTTTTAACTGCAGATAAACTGGTGACGAAAACCAAAAATTAAAACCCCAAAAATGTCTTTGATTTTTTTGTTTTATAAATAAATCAAACAAGACAGCAGATTTGGGTGACCTTACAACACCATCTATAAGGGACACAATATACAAGTAATGTATGCTCTAAAGCACAGAGCTAGAGTGATATTTTCTCAAGGAAACAATGTACAGGGTGGAACGAAGAATGAGCCATAACTTGTGTGACCCGCTCCCAGATTTCCCCACTTGATGTAGGACTTGAGAGAAACTCTGTGACACATTCAGTCAGTGCAAATGTGTCATCAGTCACTGTCCATTTACAGCATGAAGATCACATAAACATGGACTAAAGATAATTAATGTATGTCCATTTACAACATGAAGATCACATAAACATGGACTAAAGGTGATTAATGTATGTTCATTTACAACATGAAGATCACATAAACATGGACTAAAGGTGATTAATGTATGTTCATTTACAACATGAAGATCACATAAACATGGACTAAAGGTGATTAATGTATGTTCATTTACAACATGAAGATCACATAAACATGGACTACAGGTGATTAATGTATGTTCATTTACAACATGAAGATCACATAAACATGGACTAAAGGTGATTAATGTATGTTCATTTACAACATGAAGATCACATAAACATGGACTAAAGGTGATTAATGTAAGTTCATTTACAACATGAAGATCACATAAACATGGACTAAAGATAATTGATATATGTTCATTTACAACATGAAGATCACATAAACATGGACTAAAGATAATTAATGTATGTTCATTTACAACATGAAGATCACATAAACATGGACTAAAGGTGATTAATGTATGTTCATTTACAACATGAAGAACACATAAACATGGACTAAAGGTGATTAATGTATGTTCATTTACAACATGAAGATCACATAAACATGGACTAAAGGTGATTAATGTATGTTCATTTACAACATGAAGAACACATAAACATGGACTAAAGGTGATTAATGTATGTCCATTTACAACATAAAGATCACATAAACATGGACTAAAGGTGATTAATGTATGTTCATTTACAACATGAAGATCACATAAACATGGACTAAAGGTGATTAATGTATGTTCATTTACAACATGAAGATCACATAAACATGGACTAAAGATAATTGATATATGTTCATTTACAACATGAAGATCACATAAACATGGACTAAAGATAATTAATGTATGTTCATTTACAACATGAAGATCACATAAACATGGACTAAAGGTGATTAATGTATGTTCATTTACAACATGAAGATCACATAAACATGGACTAAAGGTGATTAATGTATGTTTATTTACAACATCAAGATCACATAAACATGGACTAAATATAATTAATGTATGTTCATTTACAACATGAAGATCACATAAACATGGACTAAAGATAATTGATATATGTTCATTTACAACATGAAGATCACATAAACATGGACTAAAGGTGATTAATGTATGTTCATTTACAACATGAAGAACACATAAACATGGACTAAAGGTGATTAATGTATGTTCATTTACAACATGAAGAACACATAAACATGGACTAAAGGTTATTAATCTTTTTTTCCCCAAATAGGGCATTAAAAAACATAAATGCAGACTAAAGGTCATTAGTCTTTTTTACAAAAATGGCATTAAAAACACATAAACATGGACACAAACAGTTTGTCTGTCAAGGTATAACAACATAAATGATAAAACAAACAACCAGTCTTAGTTCAGGCACAACATGAATCATAACAGAACACGAATGAGCAAGATAGCACTTTGTCAAGATGCAACATGGATGATAAAAGAACATGGACACAGATGATTTGTCTTAGTTTCAGAGAATAATAACAAACATGGACAAGCAAGATTAGACTTTGTCAAGGTACACCATGACAGACAAAAGAACATAGACAAAATCAGATACGCCATCAATGAAAACAGAACATGGATAGTGAGTCGAGGTATAAAATAAAATTTAAAAAGAACAAGAACACTAATAATGTCGTGGTTCAGGTACCGTATAAATCACAGAAAAACATGGACACATATTATATTTATGTGCAGATACAGCACAAAATGAAAACAGAGTATAAACATGTTTTTGAGACACAGTAAAGTAAGAATGGTGACTTTTACTTGTCTTTATCTAGCTCAGTGTTTCCCCAACATTTTTATTGTGCCATTCCCCACCTAAGATTTTCTAAAACTCTTATGCCCCCCTCCCTCCCCCCCCCCCTCAAATCATGTAACTAAAACCCTGGACGAGTCCATTTTCGAATTTCCTCCCTTAACAATCAAATTTCTCCTCTGTGGGGTGTGGGCCCCAGGGTGGAAAACACTGGTCTAGATATTATGAAACACCACAAACCTCGTTCACCCGAGGCAATATTCTCATCACTTCGTTGTTTCTGGAGTTAACCACTATGTTACAGCCGACAGCGTCCAGGACATCAATGCTGTGGGTTCGCCTAACAACAACAAAACAAAAATACTGTAGACTAAGCTGGAGAGATTGTAATCTGTTCACAAGTTCAGGCAGAGGAAACAATATCAATCACCTGTGTTAGCATTCCTGCATGACATGAGACAGTTCTGGTTAACTATGATAACAACATGAGGCTTGAGTGTTTTCACATCAGAGTGAGAGATCAGATGAAGTTTAAAGTAACCAAACAGAAGACACTTTTATCTGCCCTCTATCATCAATGGAGTTTAGGACCTCAACCAACCTGCATCAAGTTGTCCTATCAATTTATTTGTTGGTCTGTCTTTATTCCTTTGATTCTGTGGGTTCCAGCATAATAACATTTCTATTTATACTATGAGATTTTCTCAATGTGTCCTATCCAACACTTGCATCTTTTTCTCCCTCCCAATACAATGAAAATAGAATACTACTATTCAGATTCAAAGTGTTTGAAAACATACAATTTATGAGACTGAGTAAACAGTTCCCTTCCCTACCATGATTTCTTCAACAACAACAAAATGATGTATCCAAGCTGCTTGAACCGATCAATCTCCGCTTTCATAAGAATACAAAATTAATCCCATCTCAACCAGGAACCGGGAAGCTGATGAACCATCAGATGTGCCTCTCAACATACCAGACCTACCAACAGATGCTCTATCTCCCACGGCAAATGTGCCATCAAATGTGCCTCTCAACATACCAGACCGACCAAAAGAGGCTCTATCTCCCACAGCAAATGTGCCTCTCAACATACCAGACCTACCAACAGATGCTCTATCTCCCACAGCAAATGTGCCTCTCAACATACCAGACCTACCAACAGATGTTCTATCTCCCACAGCAAATGTGCCTCTCAACATACCAGACCTACCAACAGATGCTCTATCTCCCACAGCAAATGTGCCTCTCAACATACCAGACCTACCAACAGATGCTCTATCTCCCACAGCAAATGTGCCTCTCAACATACCAGATCCACCAAAAGATGCTATATCTCCCACAGCAAATGTGCCTCTCAACATACCAGACCTACCAACAGATGCTCTATCTCCCACAGCAAATGTGCCTCTCAACATACCAGACCTACCAACAGATGCTATATCTCCCACAGCAAATGTGCCTCTCAACATACCAGACCTACCAAAAGAGGCTCTATCTCCCACAGCAAATGTGCCTCTCAACATACCAGACCTACCAACAGATGCTCTATCTCCCACAGCAAATGTGCCTCTCAACATACCAGACCTACCAACAGATGCTCTATCTCCCACAGCAAATGTGCCTCTCAACATCCAGACCTACCAAAAGAGGCTCTATCTGCCACAGCAAATGTCTTAAAGTATCATTACCAACTGTTAGTGTGGTACACACGTCATTTGCTTTATCTCATACATACACTCCTCCTTTTCGAATCTACTTCTAATTACATATTCACACACTCTTTACACATATTATTTCATCTAACTGTCTTCTTTAAGCAGTCATTCATAAATGGTCTTCTGAATGATGTATCCAGTACAAGTGTTCCTGTAGTTTTCACTTTTATAGGCAACAAATCTTTCTTTCCTTCACTCACACACTTGCTCATCCTATATCCTAGAGAGTAATCCATACAAGGTGCCTCTAGAGGTGAGAATACTGCTCAAGTTTACACACTCATGTGTTACACAAATATCATGTATTTGTCTCAGATAAGTATTAGATTTTTACACACTACTGTAAAAAAAAATTAATATTATCTAAATCAAATGATGTTGATCAATGACTGGTTTGGCCTGGTGGCGCTGGTGACTTACCTGGCAGGAAGATAATGGAGGCTGAAGATCTACCCTCAAGGTAATGTGCCCATCTGACTGAATTTGACAAAAGACCACAACAATCAACTTTAAATCAACAAGAACATAACTGCCTTGCGATCACATACCTGTCAATCCGTAAAAGAACAAATTTGCACATGAATTTTGCTCAAACGATTTCTGTTAAGACGCATCACTGAAAAATCTATTTCCAGTTATCTGTGCAGAGGCTAACATCTTAAACCTTACTGAAAAGTAGAAAATGTAATTTAACATGAATAGCCTCTGATATTTACGATCTATCTCATAATATATTGCTCTTGCCATATTTGATAACTACATTTTCTGTCCTATCCGTGTTCACCAATGAAAACATATGTATCTGCTCGGCGACAGGTATGTGATCATCCAACAAGCATTTCAAATGGGTAAATATGAAGCATTAAAACAAGACAAAAACCAATAACCAAGACCAAATGTGTCAATCATAGGAAAATTTAAAAAGTAACTCAACTACAGATTGTGCACCTGATCTCCCAAGGTCGGGTAGTAAAAGCATATGGTTTTGAGGTTAAAGCTCCCACAGGGCAGAGGTCAATGATGTTTCCGGACAACTCAGATTTGAACATTTTCTCCACATATGTCCCGACCTGCATCTCGGTTCCTCTACCCGTGGTACCCAAATCGTCTACACCAGCTATCTCACTGGCAAATCTAGCAAGTATTGACATTATTCTCATTAAAATGCACCAGAGATTCAAATGTTAGGAATTTTTTTTTAAACAATACAATGATGCTTTAGATCAGTTACAGTAGTTGCCACGGTGGTCTGTTGACTCCCAAAGGTCTGTGAAACAAATTTAAGAAGTCTGTGGCATCATTTATAAGCCCCCACCCCAAATCTACCCAATTCCTTTTTTTCTTTTAAATTCTAATATTAGCACCAGAGGCCCAAAAAGTTGTAAAGAGAGATGTAAAATCAGCACATCTTGTATTCATTGGGTTTCTAGGTAGTAACCCATGAACAAATGATGCTCTCCTTGGGACTGAAAGAGTTCATAAGTAAGGGGTCCTGGCAGACCTTCAAAAAGAGAGGTCCGCGGGTCAAATCTAGTGGGGAACCACTGCTTTAGATGAACAAAAGTACTACTACGACATATAATCACTGGTAATGCTATAGCACTCAAAACAAACCCATGGGTCACCATTCTTAATACTAAAAAGCATTCTATTTTAGCCAGCTGATGATGCAGGGCACAACATGCTGTTTTCTTGTCACATGCACAGTATAGGGTTAGACAAGCAAGTATCTATCATACCAAATGAACACAAACATACACCACACTCGGAGGCATTTCAACAGGAAAGTTGTTTTAGACAGAATGGATGACTCCTGTGAGCGTGGTGGGTGGGGGTGGGGGGGGGGTGGGGGGTGGGGGGGGAGGTGTTGGAATAAACCACTGCCCTCTAACAAGCATGTCCACAGTATGTGTTACCAAGTTGTGATAATGCGTCTCCAATGTAGGTTAGCTCACTTTCTTGTTAGGTAGTTAGGTAAAACTTCCAGGATATTTCATTTACAAATCAAGAATCCAAATCTTCATCTGATCAATAAGTTATAATTTCACAGAAGTGAGTTCCATAGGGAAATGCAAGTTGGACAGACAATGAAACAAGAATTCAGATATTAAGTTCAGTGGCTTTATCAGCTTTCGGGTCTATGAAAACAAACCACATCTTTAGAGACCAAAAAGCAGTTTATCAGCAATAAATGAATGCCAACTATCTGCTGCCAGTGCAAACAAAGGATCCTAACCACAGATCAAGAATAAGGAATTTTAACATGTGAAAAGGTGCTTATTAATTACTAAAACAAATAGGAGTCTCAAGAAAAGACGGACAAGTGGTTTCAGCATTTCTTCTTCACCGATTTTAAACTCAGGTGGAAAGTGCTGGTTGGGGTCCACTTTGGAATTTTGATCTTATCTCAGAACTTGAGTTTTGTGCACACATCCATTTTAGACATCTGCCTTATTCCTATGATGACTACTGGTTCCTTGCCACTCAGGCAGATGCATCCTGACTTTAAAGGAAACATCCCTAATTAGTCTACTGTTATGGCATGCTTGTTTGAAGGAGTGGGTCTATTCTCCCCCCCCCCCCCCAAATTTGGGCCACAGAACCCACATGAGAAGTTTCAGCATTTAAGAAAGATGTCATCAAATCTATGAGCTTCACAAGTCAGCGAAGCCTGGGAAAAAAGGAGGTAGACTGAGGAATGGATGGATTCACCTTAGAGAAAATCTTCCACAAGACATACCTGATACACCTAGTGCAATGAATGCATCGGTTCATAACAGTTTTAATCAGCGGGCCCAAATCCTTATCTTCAACTGCTCTCTTTCCTGTGATATTCATGTCAATGAACCTGCTTTTGTCGTTGCCAAATAACATAGACTGGTCCTAGGAAATATTAAAACGGATTTTAAAAAAATGTTGCATTCCAGAATAGTGTCAGAAATGTATGTGATAAACATAGGTGTACCTTTATGTGATTGAAACAACAATACAACTGACTAACTGTAAAATTACCCTTTAAAACCAGTGGAAGATCAGGTATATCTTCTTGGCATTCGTTAGCTGTAAACTCTGGCAGAAAATTTTGGTTGTTTGTCCACTTCTAGACTCTAGCCTTGTTCCAGAACCTGAGTTTTGCATGCATATCCATTTTACAGATCTGTCTTATTTGTATGCAGACGGCTGGTTCCTATGCACTTCGACTTCAAAGGAAACTCCTAATTAGTTTACTCTTAGGACATGCTTGTTAGGGAGGCAGTGGGTCTATTCTTTTTTTTTCTCTTCACAATACTAGACATATTTATAAAGATCTAACATCACTCAAAGGATGCTGTGTGTATTTATGTCTCAGAAAAACCTTCAAAGAACATCTTCAATGTTAAGGTAACTAAAAAGATAGTCACAACGCTATGTGATAATTGCAAATGCACATTGCTAACTAACAGGTGTCACTGGGTATCTTTAATATGGATTATTCCAGATATGCCTCGCCTTTTTCTTCTGCATTCGCCTTTTTAAAAAACAAAAGTGGTAGGCAGACTGTATCAT